TAAACAAGGGACTACTGTACAGTATATTGGGCATAAAAACTAATACAACATATAACTTTATCATCAAGTGTTATAACTTTTTAATCTTGACTCTTTGTTTTTGTCTCCACTACAACCGATGTACATCATTGTCCCAGAATGCATTACACTGGTAAAATAATATTAAAGCCCATAAGTGACAAATGTAATAAACACTTAGATTTTTAAGTAATTAGTAGTTTTCACGTATCACAAACCACAGCTTTTAGTGGAATAAAGCAATAACAGCACATTCAGGCCAAGATATGAAAGCAGTTGCAGATCCCTATAACTGTCAATCTTACAGATTTTGAGCTAAAATTTGTTGAGGTAGTAGCTGAGAGTCATCCTCAGCATCAACTCCATGTGTGACATTTCATATATTACATGAGGTCCTCAGTAAAGTTGTTTTTTTTCCCCCAAAGTTTGACCCAAATAGCAACAAATGTTTCTAGGTGACCATGAAATGTGTTCCTTCAAGGAACGCCCAGTTATTAATTACTGGTAAATTCATGGTTTTGAAGCACATGCAACCTGAATTAACTTCTCTGAATGGGAAAAAAACAACAGCTGAAAAACATATTTTGGCTTCAGATTTGACTGGTTTGGTGCTATCGCTCAGGTTTCAATAAAATTGCGTCAAACTTGGTTTAACAAAAACAACAACAGCCCCAGAAAGCTGTCCTCGTTACAACCACATCCTTTCTGTCGTCTCCAGCCAGCAAGTTTATCGTCATCCCAGCTTGTGGTTTGAAACTTTGTCCACATGCTAGAAGCAGATCTGGTTAAATGTATTCAGACAAAATATTTCAACAGCTGTATTTAGGTTAATTTGGCAGAAAATTTGACTGCACATAACAAACATGGCGTATTTCACATGTAAACCAGAAACATCTGATTTGATTCATCTCTTATGGATGCACCTGGAACGTTGCAAACAATGCTCGAGCTCTTCAAAAAGAGACTCGGCGGTGCTGTCGAGAGCAATCTGGAATCATTTTCAGCTGCAAAAGAATACAAGGAAGCAAATGAGCTGTTTATGGATTTAGACTGAAAACAGAAAGAGGGAGGGGGAGGAAAAGAAAAGTTATTTTTTGGTTTAAGTGGAAAACACAACTAAAGACAGTTGAGACCTAATGAAGGCTGTGCTAAAACATGCTAAAGAAGCTACTACTGGGATGCTAATGCTAAAAGAAGCAGAACACTAATTAAAAGCTAAAAAAGCAGAACACTAGCTAAAAGCTAAAAGAAGCAGAACACTAGCTAAAAGCTAAAAAAGCAGAACACTAGCTAAAAGCTAGAAGAAACAGAACACTAACTAAAAGCTAAAAGAAGTAGAACACTAGCTAAAAGCTAAAAGAAGCAGAATAGCTAAAACTAAAAGAAGCAGAACACTAGCTAAAAGCTAAAAAGCAGAACACTAGCTAAAAGCTAAAATAATCAGAACACTAGCTAAAAGCTAAAAGAAACGGAACACTACCTAAAAGCTAAAAGAAGTAGAACAATAGCTAAAAGCAGCAGAACACAAGCTAAAAGCTAAAGGAAGCAGAGCACTAGCTAAAAGCTAAAAGAAGCAGAACACTAGCTAAAAGCTAAAAGAAGCAGAACACTAGCTAAAGGCTAAAAGAAGCAGAACACTAGCTAAAAGCCAGAAGAAGCAGAACACTAGCTAAAAGCTAAAAGAAGCAGAACACTAGCTAAAAGCTAAAAGAAGTAGAACAATAGCTAAAAGCTAAAAGAAGCAAAATGCTAGCCAATTTTAGCAAGCACTAGCTTCAAACTACTAGTAAAGGCTAGCTAACAGATAAAAGAACCAGAAAGGTTCAAGGTACTTTATTTGTCATACACATCACTTGTGGTACATGTGGTGGAACAAAATTATGTACACAGGGTCCCAGTTACATCCAACAAAAGTATTAAAATGTAAAAGAAAAACAGTAATAAGATCTAAGATATGAAATAAGAAAAACATCAGCTAAAAATACACAAAGCACTAGTAGTGTAAAAAAGAGCTATACGCTAAACAGCAGCACGAACATGAGTCTGTGTGAGCAGATGAGTATGAATGAACACAGCAGCAAAGGCTAACAGAAGCATAATAGTAGCTAAAAATATCAAAAGGTGGGTGAAACACACAAAATATTAAAAGGATAGCTAAAATCTTATCTTACAAATAGAACAAGGTAAATTAAAGGCCAAATGTAGAAAAAAAAAGTTAGAGTTAAAGTTAGACGCTAAAACAAGCAAAAGGCTTGTAGCAGATTTGTGGCTAAAAGTTACAATAAAAGCCTAATTAAAACCTAAAAGTAGCAAAAAGATTGCTAAAAGTAGCAAAAGGGTGGCTGAGATAAAAGCTGTAAAACACTAGCTGAAAGCTAAAGAAAAGCCAGCTAGAAGCTAACGATGACAAAAGGCTAACACCCACAAGTAGCAGAATAAGACCTAAAAGCCAAAAGTAGTCAAAAGTAGTTAAAACCAACAAAAAGATAGCTAGAAGCTAAAGACTAGATAACTAATAAAAGAAGCAGAAAGAAGCAAAGGCTAACAGAAGCACAATGTTAGCTAAAAATATCAAAAGGTGGGTTAAATACTAAAAGTATCAAAAGGATAGCTAAAAATAGTACAAGGCAAACTTAAGGCCAAATGTAGAAAAAGAAGCTAGAGTTAAAGGTAGAATCTAAAAGAAGCCAAAAGCTAACTAACAAAATCATAAAAGTGTACAAACTGTTGCAGAGGGACTGGCAACATATTTTTCCACAAGGCCAAATCAAGATATTTAAAGTAAATAAAAAGCTGCATAAAAAACTGTAAAATATATTTTTAAGACTGATAATCTATAAGACATTTCCAGGATTGTTCTTGTTGTTGTATAGTTAGCGTGCTTAAAATATGTCTAAAAGTCAAAGAATACTGTGAGAACATATTGGTTAGCTTAATTATGCAAAAATAAAAAAAATAGGCAGCAGGCTTCAGAGGTCGATACAGACTTTCTGAAAATTAGTTGCTAATCTTTTTTATAAAATGTTTAGATTTAACAGCAAAACGGATGAAAAACAATCTTCTCAAAATGAGCAATATTAAACAAAATACAAACCTTTGGCTATAATCTTTTTATTTTCACTTCATGGTACAAAGCACCTAAAAAACCTGGTTTCTACCAGAAAGGAGACTTTTGAATAATGATTCATAAAACTTGTCTAAATATTTAGTTGATAAAATAATCAGCCAAAAAAAAAAAAAAGGCTGAAATTGGCAACAAACAGCTGAAAAGTAGCTGAAAAGGCAGAAAGAAGCTTAAACTATCAGAAGGAAGTGGAAAGAGCTGAAATGAGCTAAAAATGTGGAATTAGCTGAAAAAGATAAACTTTGCATAAAAACAGCTAAATAGTGGCTGAAATACCAGATAAAAGCTGAAACAAGCAGAAAAAAGCTGAAAGGAGCATAACAAGCTGAAATTAGCAGAAAGAAGTTAGGGGCGTCATGGTAGCGCAGTTGGTAGAGCTGCTGCCTCTCAGCGAGCAGGTTAACCTGGTTCAAATCCTGGTCTGGGGGCCTTACTGGATGGAGTTTGCATGTTCTCTCCATGCATGCGTGGGTTTTCTCCAGGTACTCCAGTTTCCTCCCATAGACCAAAAACATGCATGTTAGGCTGATTTGTAACTCTAAATTGTCTCTAGGTGTGAGTGAGAGAGTGAATGGTTCTATGTGTCCCTGTGATGGACTGGAGACCTGTCCAGGGTGTACCCCGCCCGCCTCTCTCACAGTGACTCCTGGACATGGGCACCGGTGACCCCTGGGCCCCAAAATGGAAGAAGCGGATAAAGATAATGGATGGATGAAAGTTACTTAAGCTGAAAGTAAAATAAATTACCAAGAAAAACTTGAATTTATCTGAAAACAGCTGAACTAAGCTTAAAAAAAAATTCTAAAAAGGTAGTTGAAAAGGTAGAACAAGCTTAAATTAGCAGAAAAAAGCAGAAAGAACACATTTGCTGAAAGAATCAGAAATGAGCACAAAAAAATGGAAATAATCTAAAAACAAAGCTGAAATTAACATAACAACCGCTAAATAGTAGCTGAAATAGCAGAAAAGGCTGAAACTTACAGAAATCAGCTGAAAGGAGCATAACGAGCTGAAATTAGTAGCAAAAAAGTTGGAAGAAGCAAAAAAATGTTGGAGTTAGCAGCAAGATTCTGAAAGGAGCACAAAACAGTTGAAAGTAGCTGAAAAAGGTTTAAATTTGCACAAGGAAGCTGAAAGAAGCTGAAGCAGAACAAAATGTGAACGGAGCAGTAAAAGGTTGTAAACGCATCTAAAGATTTGAAGGATGTAAAATGAGCTCAATTAATTTTCTATGAGAAAAAAAGTGTCAGAAAAGGCTAAATATTTCAAAAAAAGCTAAAGTTGCACCAATACCAAAAGTCATAGCAGGATTGTCCTGAAACAGCTGAACGTTTTGATTTATGATTTGTTGTAATAGCTTGAAAACTGCGGGACGAGAAAGATGCTGAAAAATGTAGAGAAGAAAAACGGATCACAACAGTGTGAACTCTTCATAAACATTCACACTGTTGTGTTTTGAATGTAAATGTCGTATTAAATCTAAATAAACAATATTAAATCTGTTACCACTGAACTGTAATGTGTTGCTGAACATGATGAAGTGTTTCCTCTTTCTTTCTTTAAAGACGGTCAAATTCATTTTCCATATTTCTCCAGACGGTCCCAGCCTGTGTAATAAAAGGTTTTCACTGGTGTGCCACAACAGAGGGGGACGGGGTGAAGCACGTGCGTCATAAAGCACACATATGGTGCGGCAGTAGCTTTGTGAGGGGGGGCAGGTTCTCTCGTCAGTGACAGGATTCTTGTGGGTGGAACATGCTGTTCCAAGACCTAACGTGGGAATTCAACGGTACGCTGCAACTTTGAAAACAAAGCCACAGCTCTTGGGCGACGGTGAATGAAGCCGCGCTCGTTTTACCTGTCAGGAGGCCAAAGAAGCGCTTGCAGCGAGCGCCGTCCCTCACGAGGAGCGTGAAGGCCGCGCCGCCCTCTCCGAACTCCAAGTGGATGCTCTGCGAGCCCAGTCCCACCTCCAGGTAGCTGAGCTCCACGATTGGGTAGCTGTGCGTCTTCTGCAGCCAATCGGTGAGCGGGCCTCTGCTGGGTGGGACAGACAACACAGTTTGAGCAGGAAACGCTGCAGAGGTTTTCAAAATAAAAGCTCTAAATGTTAGGAACGCTTCATTTATGTGACAAAAGAGAGAAACAGAAGAAGAAATGAAAAAGCTCACAGATGGTTTGAGGTCAATGTGTTTTCAAGATACGTCTCAGAAACCTGAGCAGCAATTGTTATAATGTTATAATTATCTGATAATTATTACTCTGGACAGGAAAGGGGTGTGTTAGTCTTCTACCAAAGTCCAACCTTATAATTAAATCCCTCTTTTGGTCAACTTTAGCATTCATTTATTTGATGTTTGTTTATTGTTATAAAACATCTAAACATTTAAAAATCTTGAATCCATGTGTTTTTTAAATTATTGTTATTCAAACAGAACTTTTTTTTTCATTCAAGATGGATCATTTACCATTTTCCTGTAAAAAAAAAAAAAAACAACAAAAAAAAGCTTTTCCTCAAAACATCAAAGTTCATGTACAATAATCCCGGTAATAAATCCAACAAAGTTCAGTCAGGTCCTCTGGACGATTTCTTTGTGTTGAAACGTTTCGTCTTATCACCATCAAACTGGTTGACCCACTATGTGAAGATCAGTTCCCCTGCCGGGGCGCTCGTTGTATTTTATTTTAGTCAATGGGTGGGGAGGGACGGAGTCACGTGTTGCAATCCCGCTAGCTTAGCGCTACATTGCTACCCGTTTTTATCGATGTAGGGGCGGAGCGATACATCAGTAGCATTTTTGCTAGAACATTTGAATTGCGCCCTGTGCTCCATCAGTACTGACAGTTGTCGATCAGGGGTGGGGGGATTCAGTAGGCAGGGCGCTCGGTTCTGTTGACGGGGCAGAAATGTTTTTGGTGCAAGATGTTCAAATGTGTAGAGGTTACATGTCCTGGTGAGTGGCGGGAGCAGTTTGATCCACCAACAGTACAATGGCGAAGCCAGGGGGTGGCCAATGGTGGCTTGGCCACCATAATTTAATCTTCAGCCACCCTAATCATTTAAGGAAACTAAACTTTTGATCAATATAAAAACTAGACAGTGAACAGTCACTTTGGCTGTGTCTGCCTGGGAGGAGTTGAGGGGAGAGAGGACAGCCCCCAGAAACCATCTCATTATCAGCAAACTGGTTGGTCCACTAAAACAGTGTGGTGGTTGGTGGGGAAAGAGTTTGTTTGTGGTTCCTCAGACTGATGAAGCCCTTCAGATGAAGGGCGAAACGTCTCTCTCTCTCTCTCAAAAAAAAAAAAAGGAACTGTCCAGATGACCTGACTGAACATTGTTGGATTTTATACCTGGATTATTGAGAATGGACTTTGATGACTAGACAGAATAGTTTCCTCAAACGATAAGGAAGCCGCTTATTAACGGTTCACACACAGGCAAACACACACGGTGGTGGCATAGGCATTCCATCAAGTACATGTAAAGGGGACGTGTCCCCCTCACATTTAAAAAAAAAAACTCATTTGGACCCCCCACATTTACCATGAAATATTAGTTCACCCTGCGCTGTTTCTATTTCTTCATGAATTAATCCATTCCACTTGATTAATGGAAGAATACTCAAACCACTAAAAGTCCACTCCGGGTTTTCCTGGTCACCTACAACAACTCACCACCCAGCATGCAGTATTCCTCAGGTCACTTGCCTTGGCAGGGTGCTAATCTCTTTGGGGGGGTTTGTGGACGGGGCAGGGGAAGACACCTCTGTGTTGCGCACTAACTTAGTGCTACATTAGTGATGACAGTTGTTGACCAGAGTGGGGGGTAGGATGCGTGAGAGAAGCGGAGCGCTGCGTCTGTAGCATCTTGGCTAGCGCGTCTGTATTGTGCACTGCTAGCTTAGCACTACGTTAGTGCCACAATTAGGATGCGTGAGAGAAGCGGAGCGTGCTCTATTCACACAAGGAGAGCTGTTGGTCAGGCTACTTCTTGTTGCTCTCTAAAATAGTTATTGAATCAAGTGTTTACTTATGTAGGTAAACGTAGATGTTTAACAACCCATTAAAATACACCAGAATGCAGTAAATAGCATTTACTTTATTTAAAATATTCTGGGTAGGACCCCCATACCCCCCTCCCACTAGTGTATCCCCCCCAACATTACAAATGCTTCTGACACCAAAATGGACGCCGGTACCTCATCTATTTTTCAAGTTATCGTACTCGACACCAACAGACAGATGGACAAATGAACAGAAGATATTTCCAATTACTCTATTTGCTCCATGATTGGGGGATAAAAATGCCACATACTATAAATATGTTCCTGTTCTATTACATTTAGGTTTAAAAAACGAAAAGAAACACTAAAAATGTCCTTTACTTACTGCACATCTGAAGTTATTTCCAGAAAATATATCCGCTGGTTTGACACGACCAAAAGCGAAGAAACTTCCCCCGACTCACCAAATTTTACAGCCGACATCTAAAGTTCCAAAGGAAGAAAGACGCAACATAACTGGACTTGTTTTTAATGTACAAGAAACAATAGTTGTTTTATGAGTGAATGTTGTTTTTAAGGCCTCGTTAAACTGTAATGCTAAACACTTGTCAGATGACACCACCTTCCTCTTTGGGCGTTTATACATCAAACCTCAATCACTTCCCCTCAAATGACCCACGAAAATGAAAAACCGCAAACACAACTCAAAGCAGCTGCAGTCAGCGGGTAGATATGCATAACTAAGATAAATGGGCCAAGACCTCCTACTTTCAGCTGTGGTTCGGCAGCTCTTTGCTCCTCATCCAGGTGCCTCACTGAGAACAGCCCTCGCCTGCTGATCTGAACGACTTCTACGACCATGTTTTCGTAAAAAGCTTTACAAGAATGTTAGGCGACAACAGGGGGGAACTTGTCAAAAAAAAAATGAAACGACACATAAAACAAACTGTAATCAGTCACAAGCAGCTGTCACTGGCAAACTGTTGACTAAACACAAGATCTGGAACGTTTTATTGAATTAACATTGAGTTCTGTGAAGAGTTAAAGTTACTGAACAAATATTTCATCAGTCTCTGTGATGTGTGCAGAAGATACAGAAGAGGAATAGTGCCATGGTGCAATAATTTTTCCCCTTAATTCTGAGATTAAAGGCAGAATGTCAGAAAAAGTCAGAATTCTGAGATTAAAGTCAGTATTCTGAGATTAAAGTCAGAAATTTGAGAAAAAAGTCAGAATTCTGAGAAAAAAGGCAGAATTCTGAGAAAAAAAAGTCTGAATTCCGAGACTAAAATCAGAATTCTGAGATTAAAGTTAGAATTCCAAAAGTCTGAAATTAAAGTCAGTATTCTGAGATTAAAGTCAGAAATCTGAGAAAAATGTCAGAAATCTGACAAAAAAGTCAGAAATCTGAGAAAAAAGTCAATTCTGAGAAAAAAAAGTCTGAATTCTGAGACTAAAATCAAAATTCTGAGATTAAAGCTAGAATTCCAGAAAAAGTCAGAATTCTGAGGAAAAAAAAAGTCATAAATCTGAGATTAAAGTCAGAATTCGAGATTAAAGTCAGAGTTCTGAGAAAAATGTCAGAATTCTGAGATTAAAGTCTGACTTTTTTCCTCAGAATTAAGGGGAGAAAAAATATTGCACCATGAAATACATAATCAGTTTTGTTGAACCAAGCTTTAACACGTCTGTGCCTTCTTCTTACAAACCTTTAGGAAAGAGTGAAGTTCTTCATCTTCTTCAAAGACCTCCACGTCGAGGAAAAGCTTGAGTCGATGGTCAACCGCCTCATAGTCCTCGGACAGCAGATCTAAATCGTCTACAAACAGTATGTGATTACATTAAAACAGCTCTCCAGCCATCGGGGTGTAGAGACTGCACCGATTGCTCAGCTTGTGGCCAGAATTGATCGATTTCCATGTGACCACTAACAGAGCAACAAAGACTATCAAAAATACAATTTACTTTTGTTTTCGATCGTAAAGTAACTAAGAAGCTCAAAAAGTATGTTTTTGGTTTGTTTTCAATTCAATTCAATTCAGTTTATTTATATAGCGCCAAATCACACCAAAGTTGTCTCAGGGCACTTTACAGAAACATTCACATACACATTTTGGGCCTTAGAGATGAAGTTAACCCTCCTATTGTCCTTTACCATTCCTGTTCCTTAGGGGGAATATCCTCCACCTTAAACTGGAGTTTTGTGAAGACCCTCCAGACCACCAGACGCTTCAGATCCAGTAACTGAAGTTACTAAAGTTACTGTGAGGTTATGAGAGCGTTTGAAGAAATTAAGAATAAATAAATAAATAAAAAATAATTTTTAGGCTTTGCCAGAAAAAAAAAACAAGTTTATTGACTTCATCAAATAAACTAATAAATAAAAACACACAAAAATGTGATGCCGATTTTTCCGTAAAAGACAATCAAGGATTAATTATCACTGCCACCTATAGGCAAAAGATAACTAATACTGTTTGTGTATTTGTCTGTTACTGAAATATCTGAACCAAAAAGCAGGTTTTAATGAAACCTTCAGAAGTTATCAACGGGTATGCAGCTACAACTGATTAACTTCTGAAGCCAATCCAATTCAAGATGCCCATGATGGCTAATCAGCATTGACCGACACAAAAATGGATACAATTTGGGTAATTTTACAAAGTTTGAACTAAAATTTGATGAGGCAGTAACTGACTCATTCAAACAAGTTTCCATTTACAGAGTTAATACTGTATGTATATATTTTTTATGTTATGAATTCTCCCCTGATAGAGCTGTCATTTCTAACCCAAACTCGGAGCCCGGCCCGACCTGACCTGGATTAGGGCCGGGCCATAATAATGTGCTTAATGTGCAGGCTGTTGTCGGTGTCGGACTTTTGATTGTGTCAGTGGACGTACATGGCTGACAATCCAATTATACGGCATCGTGGCTTGCCATCTAATCACCAGCCGCACGTGGCCATTTGACCGCGCACTGACCGGCTTTGAAAGACGTAAAACAAAGTTCAGTTAAAGTAAAGAAAGACATTCAAACAAATGAGACATCTTTGTTCTTTCCTTTAGAAGGTGGTGGTGTCACTTAAAAAAGATTCAGCTGCATTCAGAGGATGCGCACGGCCGATGACCCAAACAGGTGAGATCCCAAAATATCCTGCAGACATGTCAGAGCAGGGTCCATGTTTGAATAATGAAGAGTGCAGGCAGAAACAGGGATTTAATGCACTTTGATGGTCATGGATGGACAAACACCCCCTCAGCTCCGATCTTCTGCCCCCTCTACTCAGCCGCGCGCGTCCACCAATGCAGTGCAGTGACAAGCTGTCAAAGCTTAATTAAAAATGTCCGGGGGGGATTTCGGACCTGTAATTACTGTTAATTCGTTGGGTCACGAGTCAGGTGGGGTTTGGAAATGATGGCTAGGGTCGGGTCGGATATTTTGGGCCCAAATGCAAATCTACCCCCTGAGATTGATTGATTGATTGATTAATTGATTGATTCATTAATTGATTAATTGATTATGTAAATAAGTAAATAGTAAGTAAGTAAGTAAGTTAAGTAAGCTAGTAAGTAAGTAAGTACGGTAAGTAAGTTAGTTAAGTAAGTTAAGTAAGTTAAGTAAGTATAAGTAAGTAAGTTAAGTAAGTTAAGTAAGTAAGTAAGCAAGCTAAGTAAGTAAGTATGTATGTATCCAGTATTAGGGGTTGAACAGACTACTCAAGTAATCTACACATCGATTCCTAGGACATGTATCGAGTTTTTTAATTTCATGTCGAGTATTCGTGGTGACGTCATTATGTCGCCGTTACATCATTGCGTTACGTGATCTGCACTGGGCGCAGGTTACAAAATGGATTCCTCCAAGCAGACAGATGGAGCAGAGCAGGCCCAGTCTTGGCAAACAGGTAGAAACGCATCAATAGTATGGAAATATTTCACTAAAGATGAATCTTCCGGTTCAACTACCGTAAGGAAACAGAAAATGAATCAACTTCCTGACTGTTTGGAGCTCGTTGTGAACCGGTGTTACACAATATTCTGTGACCACCATATATTGTGACCGTGGGGGGCGGTGTTGCATCCACTGTTGCAGGTCACAGAGTTTGGTGTAACACCGGGTCCAGTCGACCGAACCAGAACCAGCTTCCTCTGACCTTGTTTCACAAACAAAAAGCAAAATATATTAATCTCTAAACCTATAAAAACCTATAAACATATTAATCTCTAAAACTAAACCGAATGTGCATCACAGATGGCGGTGGTGCGAGGTGGTCGTCCGCACCACTGATTTTAGTTTTGTTTTTGACGTGTCGCATGTTTCTTTCACTTTTGCAGCTTAATAATAATAACTAATAGTTTAGTTTTTCCTGTGACTTATTTGCAGAATGATAAATGGTAGGAGCATAATACATGCTTCCAATGTTTTGTTGGTCTTATTTTGTAAATAATGACATTTTTTGCGGTTTTATTTATTTATTTATTTTTGTATCTTTAGATCCTATGATGTCATCAAGTACTCGAGGTCTACTAGAGTTTTATTATGTTAATGTAGTTTAAAAATTATGTAGTCGTTCAACCACTTAGCATATCATGAAAAGGTTCTCTAAACAAGCTATTAACCTAACCATCTGAATCAATGACGTAACTCTAAACACCTGCAAAAGATTCCTGAGGCTTTTAAAAACTCCCAGCCTTGTTCATTACTCAAAACCGCAATCATGGGTAAGACTGCTGACCTGACTGCTGTCCAGAAGGCCATCATTGACACCCTCAAGCAAGAGGGTAAGACACAGAAAGAAATTGCTGAATGAATAGGCTGTTCCCAGAGTGCTGTATCAAGGCACCTCAGTGGGAAGTCTGTGGGAAGGGAAAAGTGTGGCAGAAAATGCTGCACAACAAGAAGAGGTGACCGGACCCTGAGGAGGATTGTGGAGAAGGGCCGATTCCAGACCTTGGGAGACCTGCGGAAACAGTGGACTGAGTCTGGAGTAGAAACATCCAGAGCCACCGTGCACAGGCGTGTGCAGGAAATGGGCTACAGGGCCACATTCCCCAGGTTAAGCCACTTTTGAACCAGAAACAGCAGCAGAAATGCCTGACCTGGGCTACAGAGAAGCAGCACTGGACTGTTGCTCAGTGGTCCAAAGTACTTTTTTCGGATGCAAGCAAATTTTGCATGTCATTCGGAAATCAAGGTGCCAGAGTCTGGAGGAAGACTGGGGAGAAGGAAATGCCAAAATGCCAGAAGTCCAGTGTGAAGCACCCAAAGTCAGTGATGGTCTGGGGTGCCATGTCAGCTGCTGGTGTTGGTCCACTGTGTTTTATCAAGGGCAGGGTCAATGCAGCTAGCTATCAGGAGATTTTGGAGCACTTCATGCTTCCATCTGCTGAAAAGCTTTATGGAGATGAAGATTTCATTTTTCAGCACGACCTGGCACCTGCTCAGTGCCAAAACCACTGGTAAATGGTTTACTGACCATGGTATTACTGTGCTCAATTGGCCTGCCAACTCTCCTGACCTGAACCCCATAGAGAAGCTGTGGGATATTGTGAAGAGCAAGTTGAGAGACACAAGACCCAACACTCTGGACAAGCTTAAGGCTGCTATCGAAGCATCCTGGGCCTCCATAACACCTCAGCAGTGCCACAGGCTGATTGCCTCCATGCCACGCCGCATTGAAGCAGTCATTCATGCAAAAGGATTCCCGACCAAGTATTGAGTGCATAACTGAACATGATTATTTGAAGGTTGGCGTTTTTTGTATTGAAAACACTTGTCTTTCATTGGTGGGATGAAATATGCTATTTTTTTGGGACAGGCATTTTGGGATTTCATGAGCTGTATGCCATAATCATCAGTATTAAAACAATTAAAGACCTGAAATATTTCAGTTGGTGTGCAATGAATCTGAAATATATGAAAGTTTAATTTTTATCATTACATTTTGGAAAATAATGACCTTTATCACAATATGCAAATTTTTTGAGAAGGACCTGTATGTATGTATCCATCCATCCATCCAACCACCCATCTTTTGGAGAGACATCAAAATTGTCATAAATCAAAAAGCTTTCCAAAAATCAGAAACAAAAGTTTGACAATAAAACTCCAAACTGGTGCAAATATATTGAGTATATTGTACTTATTCAACTGTTAGTTGTGTCTTTTCTTTCAGTGCTTATGATTTTACAGAAAGCTGAGAGCTGTGCAGTCGTTGGACATAAAAACCTGCCAGCGTTAATGTAGTTTCTTATGCTAGGTCCTAATATTTAGCTGATTGTCTGACGTTTTTATGGGAAACTTGAGCTGGATTGCTGACACTTTACGTTTTTTCGCCTAACAATGATTATCTAAACAGAAAGCAAAATAATTTAATTCAGTTTCATTAAGTTAACTAAAATCTGCTGCTGTCATATTTTCAGCTCAACATATGTTCCAGAACACTAATGAATAGGTTGTTTTACCTCAAATGATATCTCCCATTAAGCTTTAAGCCAAAGATTTAAGACAGCAGTGGGAATACTTACATTTTTCATGGGTTTTGTGAAATTACAGCCAAATTGTACTGCAGCCGACCACAGCATTAGCCAACAGCCTTCAAGCAGAGAGGCTTTTAAGAGCTATAAACTCACGACAGAACAGCAACAGAAGTAATTTGAACAGTGATGAATGATCACAGCTAATCACAAATGACAGGGTATGGGTCCGCAGAGGCCAGAATAAACCTTTGATTCCAAGTACAAACAAATACAAGATTAAAAAGGCCTTTGAACCCAGAGGAAAGTTTCTTTTTAAAGGTCAAACATGTATGGAAACTGACAGGCAATAAAATGCATCTTTAAAGGTAAAGGACTTTTTCAAAAAGAGGAAAGCTTGACTAACTAGAACAACCGTGAATCTAAAAAAAAGGTGTTTTTCATTGTTTCACGATGAGGATGAGCCGCCTCCAGTGTGACTGTGGTTTCACAAGAACAGATTACAAGGTACCAACTCTGCAACTAGTGTATTCCAAAAAAAAAAAAAAAAAAAAAGATAAAGAAGGGTATCATTAACTCAGCTCTCCCTCTCTCAGGCTTTCATTCCTCTCCAATCATTTTCGGTAATGACTCCAATCTGTCTTGTTGCAAATTTACCATGTGGTTCATCCAATAATGGCAGACAGATGTGGGTAGTTGTTGCAGAAACGCAGTGAGCCTCGAAGTGCTGAAAAAAAATCTGGAAGAGTCAAAGACTTCCTCTTCGTTTGTTTTCAATCAAAACTTAAATCTGTCTTTACAGGAGACAACAGAGTTGACATAAACAGTTCTTACCACATCTCACAGCTGATGTGTGGAATCTGAATCACATGCAATAAAATGCCACTTATATTTTACTGCTGGTTAGGCTCTGCTCCTGTAAACAGTCCTAAAATAGTATCCTGTATATAAAATATTGAGGTAAAGGTCAAAGACTGACTCAGTTTGTTTACTGATCAAAAACCCTTACTCGTTTAGGTTGTTTGTTGGTTCAAGCTTCTAAAATATGGACAGTTGCTGCAGCTTTGGTAGCTTTTATTCCTTATACATCAAATATATTTACTTATTACGCTGCAAGTAGGCCTATCACGATAACAAATTTTGCTGGGCGATTGTCACAGAAATTATTGTGATAAACGATAATATTGTTTGAAATTTAACAATAATTGTCAAATTTGAGAAGAAATGTTGATTTGTTTGGTGTGTAGTACCTTTTTTGACCACCTGATGGCAGTATAAGACTGCTTGAACCAAAGGATGGATAGTTGAGCAGCGTGTCTCTTTAAGAAAAATGGGAGGGAGAACCCTTGCCGTGACATGTGCTGTCTCTTTCGGTTCTCAAAAAGGCAGACGCTCGGTGTGGTTTGAGCTCTTTAGCACACAAAGCTTTTAATAAAAAAATCAGTAAACAAGTTATCAGCTTCTTTTTGAAGAGAAAAACAACTTTTTACATGAAGGCACGGGTTTCAACCGTGAATTTTGGAGCTTGACAAGACAGAGGTTTATTCCCGAGGTCGACCTGTTAGCTCGTAGCTTAGCTTCTCAGCTTAGCTGCTTTTAACGATTCAAAAACGTGATTTTGGACGGTAAAAACAGATTTTAAAGAGAAAAGAGAAAGTGAGGGGTCAGTGAAGAGCACCGGAGTTGAGCCTTTTGTTATCCAGTGTCTTCATTAGAAAGAGAGACACAAAGAAACGATAAAGCCGATAAATGAAAATGAGGTCGATAATTTTCATTCATCGTGCAATTAATTGAGTTATTGTTTATCGTGACAGGCCTAGCTGCAAAAGTTTATCTTTTTATGTGAACTACAACAATGCTTCTTTACATTAAGTAAATTATAGTGCAGGAGAGACACAAAAAATACCTTTTTTTTTAACAAGTCCACATATTGTTAGACTTGAGGAAAAAAGATTACTGGCCAAACCACTTCTACGAAAGGGCTAGCATTATTTGAAAGAATGTTATAGGCGTTTATGTCAAACCTTAAAAATAACATTATGCCCAATATTTTGATATCTTCTTTGATTTTGCATGATCTTTTAGAGCTTGGAATATGTGATGAGCAAAATTCATCTACTACCACACCAAATTTTAGATCAATATTGGTAAAATTTGCTGAACTATAGCCATTTTTGACAGTTCTAAAGTTAAATGGCTGCAGCACACCATCTTGAATTTCTGTTCAGTGCCCCGAGATGACTTCTGTTGTGACTTGGCGCTATATAAATAAACTGAATTGAATTGGGTTGGGTTGACACCAAAACTGAACCAACTGAACCAGCTGTAGAGGTACACTAAATTATTATTTCCTGAGCGCTTCAATAAAAGGTATAATGAGCCTGGGAAGATAAGATGAACATACCATACAGGTACAGGTGGATGTCATCAGCATAACATGATACTTCATATTGTGTTTTTAGAAAACAAAGTCTAGAGTGAAGATAAGTTACATCTTAAAAAATAAATAAATAAATAAGGTGGCCCAGAGCTGAGCCTTGAGGAACAACAATTTTGGTAACTACAGTATGTATGCCAAAACTTTAATGTCTAAATCTGAACTCTGACAATGAATGGATGCATAAATTAGAACTCACCCTTAGAGGTGGATTGGTCTGTAGGTTCAGCTTGTGGTGGGGGCACTTCAGTAGCAGTGTAGTGGTAGCTTCCTGCGAGGTCCTCCTTACTTTGAGAGTCTATGTTGTAGGAAATGCTGCTTGTATCATCTGAACCATCCCCAATAAAGAAGGAGCTTCCCTGGGCTGTGACAAATGTGGGATCCTCTAAAGTCAGCGCAGTTTCTGGGATGATACTACTGCCTTTACTAGTATCGGAATCATCATGCTTTGGAAATAAAGACAAAGCATTAAATATTGTAAGCAGTGTTTTGAGCAAACAAACAATAAAAAAAAAAAAGATTAATGAAAGGATCAGAAAGACCTTGTTGACGCTGTGAGTGCGCTGAGTAAAATCAGGATAATTGTCTTCGCTGTCAGGCCTTGCTGACTGAAAGTTGGGTGTACTGCTGTAGGGAGTGGTTTGTTCAGTCATTTGAACCACATGGTCACTACCACATTCTGGACAAATATGGCTTTTTCCTGAAATAAAATAAACAAAAAATATTTCTCAAGATAAAATTCTTCTTTTTTTTGTCATAAAACCAACCATCTTAGAATACTTAAAATGGCCATTCAAATTCAAATACAATTCAAATTCAAAAATACTTTATTAATCCCAAAGGGAAATTATTTGTTGTTGTAACTCATTATCCTCATTTCATTAAGAAATGTTACAGATGCTGATGGCTGTAGACAGGATGGATCTCTTGTAAAGGTCCATCCCACAGTGGATCCTAAGAAACTGGCTGCAGATGCCGTCCAATCCACCCACCCAGACTCAGCTAGCCTCTCGATTTCCCCGGACTGTAGGACCGCCCAAATGCCGGGCAGAACTCCTCCCAGAGTGATGGCCACACCTCCCAGCAGTCTGCCTAGCTCCTCGTCACTGCGGACAGCCAACTGTAGGTGCCGAGGGGCAATCCTGTCCTTCCGCTGTCATGAGCCATGTTTCCTGCTAGTTATAGGATCTCAGTGGTCAGGCACTCGAGCACAGCTGGCAGGTAGATGAGAATGCATCCACAGAACATCCTTTTCAACTCATTTTAGATTTGGGGCTGTAGTTGAGATATTATTTGAGCTTTGATATCAGTCTAGGAAGAGTTTAAGGAAGTATTTCCTATATTTAAAAGGCTGGCTTGCTTCATGTTTTCCATTATTACATTTTATATTGTTCCAGACTCAAACTTTCAAAGACTTTTGTGGACTTTTCAGTTTGTTCAAATGTGAAGCATTTGTAAAGTTCCCTTGAATGTTTATTTATAGGTGCTCTTATTATCATAAATTTTAAAAAAAATTCTAAAGTAAAAGGAAAAAAAACATTGGATACTTTTTGAGATACCTTGTGACAAAAATTTGTAAATGTAACATATGATTAATGATCTGCATTATATAGCAAAACAACATAGAGTATAAGGTACTATAGCAAATAATTTGGGGTATACAATTTTGTCTGTGTGCAACATGCAACATTTTATTTTCATAGGGCCTTACAAACAGCAATAATAGGGCCACAAATTGAACTGTAACAATATGTTTCCATACAGATAATTTGCAAAAACATTTCCAGATTTTGCTTTCATTTCTAAAAACATGACTGGCTAGGTCAAAAATGTCTGCTTGATATTTATTCTCTTGGAACTTTTGACATAGCATTAAAATATTTATTAGCTTTAAAATTTTTGATTTTATTCATACACTTTGAAGCATTTAGGTTCAGCATAGTTCTGGAAATGCCAACAACCATCCATTCATTATCTTCAGCTTGTTATAAAGTCTGGCCTAGAGAGCAGCAGCTTGAGCAGGGAGGCCTAGACATCTCTCTCCACAGCCACCTCTTCCAGCTCTTCTGGGAGGACTCCAAGGCAATAATAAGGCCTCAAGTCCAGGCCAGCCAGGACATGCCGGAGAGCCCAAGTCTCTCCAGATCTGTACAAAGATCAGTACTTCAGATCAGAGACAAAGTCTCTCCAGATCAAGGTTTGTAGGCTCAATCAAACAGATAGATAACAAAAAAGGTTAAATCATTTAATCTGGACCAGATCAGTACAAAGATCAGTACTCCATAGACAGTCTCTCCAGCGTGTCCTGTCTTCCTCATGGTCTCCTTCCAGTTGGACATTCCCAAACACCCTCCTTAGGGAGGTGCAGGGGGCATCCTTTCCGGATGTCTCAAACATCTCAACTAGCTCTTGATGTGGAGGGGCAGCGGTTCTACTTCTGAGTCTCTCCCGGATAACTGAACTTCTCACCCTATCTCTAAGGGAGAGCCCAGCTACACTTAGAAAACTCATTTTAGCCACCTTCGCTATCTCATTATTTGGTTCACTACCCAGAGTCTGTGACCTTAGGTGAAGGTAGGAATGTAAATCGACCTGTAAAGAGAGAGCTTCTCCTTGCAGCTCAGTTCCCTCTTCACTACAACCAACTGGAAACACTGCAGAAAGAAGCTGTACTGATCTGTCTGTCTATCTCACGCGCCATTCTTCCCTCACTTGTAAACAAGATCACAAGACATTTGAACTCCTCCACTTAAGGCGGAGCCTCACTCCTAACCCAGAGAGGGAAAATACACAAAACACCCGGTTAATAAATGTTTCCGCTAATTTTAGTTCCACGTGTTTAGTTGTGTGCATCTAAGATGTGTAATGTAGTCTTTGTTTTCAGTTAACTAAAGTTTCGTAAATAAAATGCTTGTTTTCACTGCCCATCCATCCCAGTGTTTCACCTACCATTATAAAAGCAGGGCGCCCTGCCCTGTCAACAGAACAAATGAACCTCCCCCAGTAGACAACTGCCGGTACTGACTTAGTGCTAAGCTAGCGAGTGCAATACAGGCACGCTAGCTAAAAAGCTAGATGAAGCGCTCCAATTCCCTCATGCTGAGCCATCCCCCGTGCCCCTCCTCCACTCGAAAACTTTTGGTATAAACAGCACACAACACAAATGTCTCGGTTTCCAAATCACGGAAGAGATGAGCACCTTGCCAAGACAAGCAATGTAGGAGAAACACTGCAATCCATTTTCTTTACCTACTTATTGTCCCATCCATGGGACAATAAAGGCTGTTTCTATTCTATTCTATTCTATTCTATTCTATTCTATTCTTCTCCTTTCTGGGTCATGGTTGTGGCTGGTGCCTGTTTTTAACAGTCATTGTGCAAGAGGCTGGTCACACTCTGGACAGTCATTGTTCTCAGTAATTTATATGAAATTTGTTTTGTTCTAAAGACATCAATGACCAGTTGGAAGAGATCCAAGGGTCATTTCTGGCCCACAGGTTGTGCGTTACTAAAGGGGTTCTCAGTAATAAACTTGAATACTAAACTACTGATGGTTTTAAAAAAAACTCAAGGGTTGATGTGGTCATTGAACAGAAGTGAGTTTTGATATACAAAAAAAATATGAAAGATGTTCTTGCCTCAGCAAAAAAAAAAAAAGAAAAAAAAAGAAAAATGGGGGAAATGTTTAGTGTTTCCCCTATATTACTTGCTTTGGCAGGGCGCTTATCTCTTCCGTGATTTTCTTTTGTCGACTGGGGGGACGAACACACGTCTATGTTGCGTGCTGTTTGTACCGGCAGTTTTTGAGCGGGGGGGTGTTGGGAAATGGAGCGCAGCCTAGCTTTTTATTTAGCACATTTGTATTGCATCTTAGTGTTATGTCAGTGTTGACAGTTGTCGGGTGGTGGTGGTTCAGTTCGGTAGACAGGGCACTCGTTTTTGCTGACAGGGCGGGGCACCCTGTTTGTATAATGGTAGGGGAAACACCAATTTAAAAACACCCATGTTTCTCCATACTCTGTTCTTATTATTTTACACTTATTCCGACCTGTTCAGGCTGCTGTTTAATATACTGTATTAGTTTATATTATTATTGTTTAGTGTAAATCTTAGATACTTGTATACTATTTCTGTTTATACTTTATATTTTTGCTACTTTTGGGTGTAACTGGGACCTTGAGTGCACAATTTTGTTCCACCTCATGTACCACATGTGATGCGAATGACAATAAAGAACCTTGAACCTAAGACAAAAACAACAAATTCCATACTTTTCAAGACTGTGTAGAACCTCTTGGTTAAATAGCCGTGGCAGCCATTTTGAATTGGGTCGACTGGAAATGTATTTGATGTCCACATAATTACTTTCTGTTCCCTTCCTTAAAATTCATGCAGTGGTTCATGACAGATTTTGCCAACAGATGTACACATCAACGACTGCCCACCCTTCATGGTGAAGGGCAATATAACCCCCCCACATACATACATACACCTGCAGCACATACATTTCTGCATACTGCAGGCAAACAAAGGCCTCAGTTCAGACATGTGTGAACTGAAAGGGCCTTTATTGCCAGAGAGTTGAGGGAAGCAAGGTTAAACAGTAACAAAGAAACATTGCTCCAAGAAATCTTCAGAACACGTGTTGAACAAAGCCTGCACCCTGTGTGTGCGTGCCTGAGCAGATCCCAGTGTCAGGCTTGGTTCAACTGCAGGGAGGCAGCTGCTGAAGCTGAGGCTGTTATCTGGCTCGGGCTGATTGCAGAGATGGGAACTCGCTGGAACAGGCAGCTTGGGAATAAAACAGAACAGATAACTCCAGGGGTGTTGCAGTCAAACACGTCTGAAAGCAAACTTTTATTTTGTATTAATACATCCGACCAATGGGAGCCTGATAGTGTTTGGCATCACCTGACATATGTGACCTTGCACTGAGTTGGCGTTATCTTTAGTTGCAACCACGAAGTCCACTGACAGCTGAGAGCACAGAGTAAATGATCCAAATACACCACAAATCACTGGACAAGTTTAAATGACACTTGCAAAAGTAATCAATGGACATGCAGCTACAACTGACTACATTTAGGAGTCAATCCAATTCAAGATGGCTGCCACAGCCAACTGACCTCAAACATAAAAGTAGATATAATTCAGTAAATCGGACAGTTATTGAGCAACAATCTTATGTGATAAAGAATAAATGTCATCTGTAATATTATGAGCGATACAACATCAATTCTCAACACAAGATGCTCTTTGAGGAACGCTGGGCCTTCACCTACAACAGATGAATCAGTCATCGCTTGTCTGTACATGAATATGTGCATGTTGTTTAATTGAATTTAAGTCAAATGTTATTATCAGGTTTGCTAAAAGGATCTCCAACTAGTTGGAACAATAAACCTTATTTGATAAACATTTATTTCAGCTGTAAAACCAGGACTGTAAAAATACAGTAGGCCATTTATTTTATTTATGCTGCAATGCATTCTGGGTAAACAACGTAGATAGGTTGCTCTGGTGCGAGCTTGAATATAAATTTTTAGAGCCCAACCGATATATCGGTAGGGATTATATTTTAGACCGATATAGACGTATGGGGGGGCCTATCGATATCAGTGAAAATTGTCCCATTATGCGCTGATATAAACACTTTTAATTTTTACCTCTAGAATGCTGGAATCAGCCGTAATTGTACAATGTATCCAGAAGAGGGCGCATGAAGAATACTTTCAAGTCATGGCTGCTTACTTAAGTTTCATTTTCACTTTCATCTCAGACGAAGCAGGGAGCAACGCTGTGTAACGTATTTTGCTGAACAGAGCATGGTAAGTTCATTTTAACTGATGTGTAAAACAAATCAACAACACTAAATTCTCTTCAATCCTCCAAGCTGCTTGTCATTTCATTAGCTACATTTCATTTTTTTTTTCATTTACCCTTTATTTATCCAGGTAGTCTCATTGAGCCACGAGAACTCATTTTCTAGAGAGACCTGTTTTTTAGGGAGCAGATGGTGGGGGTTAAGGGCCTTGCTCATGGGCCCAGAGTGGGGCGAATGAGGATGGGGGCAAGTGTGGGTGCTTCACCTACCCCACCCACAATTTTGATGTTGTCGGGGCCGGGGCGTGAACCGGCGATCTTCGGATCACAAGCCCACCTCTCTAGCTTCTGCGCCACCACTCCCCCAATAATACATAATCATAATCAATCATAATAATACATACCGCTCAAGTTAGCAAGCTAACTTTTAGATAACCTAACATAGGCTATTGCCTTGGAAAACTTTATCCAGAACAGTAAACCTAACATAGAGGTGAAATATATCAGGGTTAGTAATGTTATCTTTGTTTGTCTGAAATCTTTAGTTCTCTGCAAAGAAAACAAAAACGTTGTCGTGGTCAATACTAATTAGACCATCACCATACGTGACTGTTTTAAACAGTGAACAGGCAAGGGTGTTTCTTTGTGTACTTTACATATTTGTAACACATTTGATAACTTAATGAAGAAAAGTGGACAGAAAATGTGAACGCACATTAGGAAGGCTGTTTTTATGACCAGTGCACCACTTGTAAACCTAGTGTGGGACTAGGTATAGCATGGATCTGATTTGCTTAGCTTCATGACTGCTAACAGCTGCACCACTCACTGTTTTCTTAGATTCTTGGAGGAGGAAAAAAAAAATTCAGCCATTATATCGGTTATCGGCAGTCGTGTTCCCCTCCTAATTTCGGTATCGGAAATAGCCAAAATTTCCATATCAGTCAGGCTCTATTAATTTTGGACAATATTTGACGTTCAGCCCTTTAATTTGAACCTGAGCGTACTGACAGAGAGAAGAATGAAGAAATGACCAATATCTAATAAAACTAATAGAAATAGCATTAGCTCCAAAAGCTAATAAATTAAACCTCACAAGATGGTTGTTTCGACCCACATATTGTGCACATGAACTAATACAAAATATAATTTTATTGTCATGTTATAACTGCGTAGTCTTGACTCCTTGTGTTTTAGTCTTCACAACAACCGATGTACGTCATTGATCCAGAATGTATTGCTCCGGTAAAATAGCAGTGATGTTCTTAGGTGAAACATGTAAAAAAAAACATATATAATTTTAAAAAATATTTAGGAATTTTCATGTGTCAGAAACAAGAACTTTTAGTAGAATAGAGAAATAACAACATATTAAGGTGTTATCATTATTACCTGTGTGCATTAACCCCTCTCCATCCTGTTCCTCCTCGCCCTCTGGTAACATCACGGCTAGGCTTATCTTCACTCTTCCTCCACCATCCTGTTGCTCAGTCTCTCCCTGAGGCTTAAACTCTGTCCTGCAGCGAAGGCACTGCAGGCGAGCAGAGCCGAGAACCCGCTCCAAGTCATAGCGCTGCCTTTCCTCCATGGCACGAGACAATATATCTGTCAAAACCTAGCGGGAGAGCGAGAAAACATTTTTATGATGTGTTTTCCCTGCTGGTTTTCTATTTGGCACTATAACACTGATTCTGCTTGCAAACTAACAAATACCTGCGAGCACCTCAAGTTCAATCGAACCGTTTTGTTTTATAAGACTCAGTCTGTCTCCGTTTGAACATAAAAACTGGGCACATCCTGGTGTTTTCTTTTTGGTTGCCTTTAAATTTAAATGAGCAATTAGCCTAGAGGTGCAACATGAGGAGTTTCAATCAACACAAGGACAATGTGAAAAAAAAAAATCATTAACAACGCAGTGAATCTGGTACAGGCTGTACTGCTGGAGGCAAATGTCTAAGATGGAAAGAGTGGAGACTTGTGCAACCTAGTCAGGAATTCAATGGGTGAGTTTTCCTTCCATGTACAATTACTTGTTGCACTGAAGGGATATAGTATATGTATAGCTAGGCCTGTCGCGATAAACAATAAATCAATTAATTGCATCACAAATGAAAATTATCAACTTCATTTTCATCGGCTTTATTGTTTCTTTGTGTCTTTCTACTGAAGACACTGGATGACAAAAAGCTCATCTCCGGTGCTCTTCTCTGACCCCTCCATTTCTCTTGTCTCTTTAAAATCCATTTTAACCGTCCAAAATCACATTTTCAGATCATTAAAAGCAGCTAAGCTGAGAAGCTAAGCTACACGCTAAGCTAATAGGCCAAACTCCAGGAAAAAAAACGTCTTGTCGAAGCTTCAAAATTCACGGTTTTGCAGGGTTTTTCTCATTCAGACCAAGCTGGGGGTCAGGTCTAATGCGTCGCATATCATCTTAACCAATGATATGTAACGGAAATACGAGTGGCGTAAATTAGCAACATGAAGATCGGTGGAGATAGAGCACGCAATTTTCTAATTAAGACAGTTTTTATTCATAAATAACGGTGATCCGTGCGACCCAGAAGTACACTATGGATCGTGCTTCTGTAACAGATAGAATGACAGGCACTAACATAGCGCTAAGCTAGTGCGCAACAACCCCCGTGAGTGCCCTGCCAAGGCAAGTGACCTCAGAGAAACACTACAGGTGTGGTGAGTTGTTGTAGGTAACCAGGAAAACCTGGAGTGGACTTTTAATGGTTTGAGTATTCTATTAATGAAGTGGAATGGATTTGTTCAAGAAGAAATAGAAACAGCACTGGGTGAGTTAATATTTCATGGTAAATGTGGGGGAGGCACGTTCCCATCCATCCATTTTCTTCTGCTTATCCAGGGTCGGGTTGCGGAGGTAGCAGCTTAAGTAGGGTGGCCCAGACTTCCCTCTCCCCAGCCACTTGAGCCAGCTCCTCCGGGGGAATCCTAAGGTGTTCCCAGGCCAGCCGAGAAACTTAGTCCCTCCAGCATGTCCTGGGTCTTCCTCTGGGTCTCCTCCTTGAACTCCTCCTCCTGGGGCAAGACCTCCTACCCGACCCGGAGAGGGCACTCTACCCCTTTCCGGCTCAAGGCAAGTCCCCTTCACAAGTAATTATTGTGACACCTATGGTTCTTATCACAAAATATAAAAACATTTGGTCAACTAAAATCAACATGTATTTAACAACATTAGAACGTTTGCGCTTAAATTAATAAACAGAAGAGCATCCTTACTAGAAAAAACAAATGAAGTGTAGGGTACAGTAAATTGGTTTTAGCTAGGGGTGCACAGATAAATTGGCCGGCCGATTTATCGGCCCCGATTTCCTTAATTTTGGGAAATCGGCCGATACTCGCATGAGAAACCTATTTTACCGATTTTTTTAGTTTTAACAACAATTGTCTGAACTTTATTTATATTTCAGAGCACTACCTCGTGGCCAGTTAAACAAGTTTATATTGTTTCTAGGATATTGTTCAAGGGTATGTTTTTCAGTAAAATAAGACTAAAAATTGAAGGTGCATTGTGACGTTGTAACACCTGACCGTGTCGCTTATAAAACTAAATCGGTATCAGACAAAATCGGAATCGGCAGGCCAGACTTTTTAGAAACTGGTGATCGGCCAGAAAACTGAAATCGGTGCACCCCTAGTTTTAGCGTTTGCTGCTTCGTCTTCATTTTCCGATTTAAGTGATTAACTATGCACAGACAAAAACAAGTGACAATTGTTAAAGTGGCCAAATGGCTGGCTAAATAAAATTGATCTATTCCAAGTGTATATTAATGGAAATGTTTGCAAGTTTGTCTATTAACCTGAGCGGCCTGCTGCGGGTCGTCATCCAGCAGGACGTAGCATCTCCTCTTATTTGTCTTGGTGATGTAGTCAAAGTGAAGCTCCACGGCCGGAAACAAATTCTCTGCATCCTGAGAACAAAACAGCTACTGATGCGGTCATCCAAAGAGAGCGTAAACATGAACTTCAAGATGGTAATACAATGTTTTTAGTTGATAAAGTATCAAATAACATTAGACAAAATGCATTTTCTATAAAAATGCAGTGAATGCTGAGTGCTGATAAAATTGGCTGAAAATGAATTTGACCTGAAAGCTAAAAGTAGTAAAAAAATAAAATAGTTAAACATAGCAAACCCTAGTTAAAAATTTAAAGTAGCAAAATGCTAACTTAAAAGTTAAAAGTAAAAATTGAAGTACTGATGTATTGATGTAATGCATTCACACTGCATTTTCGCAGGAAATGCAACTTCTCTAGTTAAAAATTAGCTGACTGGAGTGTTTGTTTTGGACGGGCTACAGGAAAGTTTTAAAATCACAACACATCAATTTTCATATCAAGCAGAGTTTAATGTCAAATAATCATTTACCAGATCCTACTAAAGTATCTACTAAAGATCCTTTCCCATGCAACTTGAGATATGAAGCCATGTTCTTAATTTTGCAACAGATTCAGTCTTCAGAACTTCCTAAATGTTTGGTAATCTTACAGGGAATAAAGTAGGGGTTGAACGACTACATAATTTTTAAACTCAACATTAACATAATAAAACTCGGTAGAGCTCGAGTAGTTGATGCTGTCATAGGATCTCAAGATGAATAAATAAATAAATAAAAAATAAAACCGCAAAAAAAACGTCATTCATTATTTAAACCAAAAAAAAAAAAAGGACCATCAAAACATTGGGAGTGTATATCATGCGTTTATCATATACAAATAAGTTAGTTATTATTATTAAGCTGCAAAAGTGAAGAAACGTGCAGCACATGAAAAACAAAACTAAAAATAGTGGGGCAGACGACCACCCCGCACCACCGCCAGCTGTGATGGGTATTAGGGTTAGTTTGAGAGATTAATATTGTGTATAATTTTTTTTTATACAGGTTTAGAGATTAATATTTTTTGCTTTTTGTTTGTGAAACAAGGTCAGAAAGAAGCTGGTTCTGGTACGGTCATTGGACCTGGTGTTACACCATATTCTGTGACCTGCAACAGTGCATGCAACACCGCCCCCTACGGTCACAATATACGGTGATCACAGAAATTGGTATAACACTGGTTTGCAACAAGCTCCAAACAGTCAGGAAGTTGATTCATTTTCTGTTTCCTTACGGTAGTTGAACCGGAAGATTCATCTTTAGTGAAATATTTCCATACTATTGATGCATTTCTACCTGTTTGTCAAGACTGGGCCTGCTCCGCTCAGTCCATCTGCTGGGAGGAATCTATTTGGTAGCTTCTACTAGTAGCCCGGTGCAGCTCACGTGACACGTGATGCAATGACGTAACTGCGACGTAATGATGTCACTGTGAATACTCGACGTGAAATTTAAAAACTCGATAGATGTTCTAGGAATTGACCGGTCGATTACTCGAATAGTCTGTTAAAGCCCTAGAATAAAGCACCTCAATTGTCAGTACTTGAACGGAACGAAATAGATCCCAGCCTCTTACACAAAACTCATTGTTGGCCCGTCCAGTCCAATTCTTACCCCTTGGATCCAGGCAACCTCTGTGGTCTCCACTCGAACCAGGCTGTCCAGCTCCAGCCGACACCGCTCTTGGCCACGCTGCACATCCACCTCCAGCACCAAACCCTGCTTGACGCACAGAAACACCTCTGCTCTCTTTCTCTCTTGACCTCTGCTGTCCGTTTCTTCTTTGTCAGACAGGACTCCAACAAGAATTGGGTGACACAAGTCCACTGAGGTGGGAAAAAATGGGTGCTGGTTTGTGTTCATTCTCAAGATCAAATGTAAATTAACCTGGATCCCTAAAGAGTTTACCTCCAAGGCCCTCTTCATCTTCTTGTTTGGCGTTTCCGCCCGACACTCTGGCAGACCTCTGGAAAGCCGGGCTTGAATTAGGTACTTCTTCCTGCCTCACTGTTAACCCATCCACCATGCTGCCCTCCAGGGTGGATTTGTTCTGCTGACTGTTGTGACTGAGCCACTGTAAGGTGGACTCGGTGTCCAAGTCCATGTCTTTTGTTTCCGGAGAGAGGACCAGTGCCGGGGGGAGCTCAGGTACTCGTCCAGACGGAGATGAATCAACAGGACATATGGTGGAGTTACTGGGACCATTGGAGAGAGTTTCAGAGTCTGGATGGTTTGTGCTGACAGTGCTGATGGTGGTGGTTGCTCCTCCATCTAGATGGTGCTGGTATCTCAGCCAATCTTCCCCCAACTGATCTCTGAAGCTGGACATGCGCTCAATCTCCTGCTGGTGGGGGAGAACTATGTCTGTTGGGAAAATATGAAGGTTTTAGATGTGTGTCCAACTAAATAATTATACATCTAACAGTTGGAGATACATGTACGGTGACACACCTTGTGTGGAGGAAATGCGTCTGGGTACATGATCAGTATCACTTGGTTCAGAAATGCTGGCCCTTCTCACTTTCACTTTACTCTGAAAGATAACAGATTTCTCAGAAAATCCTATAGATGTCCTTTTTGTAGACTTCATTGGACACAAAAGTTCTTTATAGATGTTAAAGTTGTTCAAAGACATCTAAGCTAGACTTCTATAGACATTTGAGTTGTCCAGTGATGTATGTTGTCCATACATGTCTAAGCTAAGTATCTATAAACAACTGATTTGTTTAAACATGTTTAGGTTGACATCTAAGCCAGACACATGTGCATAAATCTATTATTATTATTATAATTGTAGTTCAGAGACATCTAAGATAGAAATCTACGGACATTAGGGTTGTCCATAACTGTTTGTTGTTTATAAATGTCTCAGTTAGACATAAATGAACAATTGCGGTGTCGTAAACATCTACAATGATCATGTCCAGAACCTTTATTTAACCAGATAAATATCCATTGAGATCAAGATTTATTACCCACGTTTTTGAATTTTAAGCCATGGGCATTGCATAGTAATGATTTTTTTTACTGTGACTTAAAACACAGGCAATGGTTAAAATAGACTCAAACACAAGCAACATTCAAAGGTCTCACTAAATCCACTGTATCTCCAAGGATTGAAGAAGTCTCTAAAGGAGATGAGGTCTGGCAGTTTCAGATCAGTCTGTAGAGTGCTCCATGCCGAGGGGGCAACAAAGTTGAACACTCGTTTCCCTAATTCAGTTTTGACACAAGGAACTGACAGTAGGACAACCTTGTTAGAACAAAAAGTATAGTGACTGTCATTAAGTATGTATACCTGTGTGCAATCAGGGAAGACCAACCAGATAAAGTGCATGGCTCACAGTGATGAGTGTGATCACTATACCCATTGACAAACCTCATAACACTGTAGTAAATACTAGCATCTAGGGGCTGGAGACATTTGGATGGGAAGCTCACAGCGTACAGCGCAATATTAAAGTCAGAGAAGGGCATAAGATTCAATGGTATAAATAAAGGTTGAATGAAAATAAAGGTAGCTGATATTAAGGTCTTCTAACTGAGTGAGAAACGGGACTTTTTTGTAACGAAAACCCACCTTAAGACCCAGGTATTTGTAGTTTGAGACCAGATCTATATGTTTTCCTTGTGGAATTGAAATTGTGGACATTCCCTGCTAGCTGTCTTTTATTAAAAAATAGCAAGAGGTATTGAAAAACGATGGAGGCGTTCAAAAATGTCTTTAATGTCCATAAACATCTACACCATACATCTATGAGATACGGATATGTCCATGGATGTCTGTTGTTCATAGACATCTACGCTAGATGCTTATTAAAATAATCTCTGACTAGCTGGAACAATAGATCTTATTTGATAAATATTTACACTACTTGGCCAAAAAAAAAAGTTGCCACCAAAAAAAAGGTCACACACTAATATTTCGTTGGACCGCCTTTAGCTTTGATTACGGCATGCATTTGCTGTGGCTTTGTTTCGATAAGCTTCTGCAATGTCACAAGATCTATTTCCATCCAGTGTTGCATTAATTCTTCACCAAGATCTTGCATTAATGACTAGACACTAGGCATGATGGGTGCATCACTTTACCTGCCTCTCTTCTTACCCTGATGCGCCCATCACTCTGGAACAGGGTAAATCTGGACTCATCAGACCACATGTCCTTCTGCCATTGCTCCAGAGTCCAATCTTTATGCTCCCTAGCAAATTGAAGCATTTTATTCCGGTTAGCGTCACTGAATAGTGGTTTTCTTAAGGCTATACAGCTGTTCAATCCCAGTCCCTGGAGTTCCATTCGCATTGTGCGTGTGGAAATGCTCTTACTTTCACTATTAAACATAGCCCTGAGTGCTACTGTTGTTTTTCTTCAATTTGATTTCACCAAACGTTTAAGTGATCCTTGATCACAATCATTCAGGATTTTTTTCCGGCCACGTTTCTTCCTCTAAGACGATGGGTCCCCACTATCCTTCCATTTTTTAATATTGCGTTGGACAGTTCTTAACCCAATTTTAGTATTTTCTGCAATCTCTTTAGGTGTTTTCTCTGCTTGATGCATGCCAATGATTTTACCCTTCTCAAACAGACTGACATCTTTTCCACGACCACACAATGTGTCTTTCGACATGGTTGTTTAATGAGAAGCAACTCATTGCACCAGTTGGGGTTAAATAACTTGTTGCCAGCTGAAAGATAATCGCCCATGCAGTAGTTATCCAATAGGAGGCTCGTACCCACTTGCTTAGTTAAAGCCAGGTGGCGACTTTTTATTTTGGCCAGGCAGTGAATTTCAGCTATAAAAACCAAGGCTGAAAAATACATAGACTTTTAAGTTTTATAATTAAAAAAAAAATTATTGACACAGGGTCATCGTCGAACTCTGTCATCTCGCTGTGTCCCAGCTGCTTTCAAACATGCTGTGGTACAGCCGACTATCGAAAAGAAAAACCTTGATCCCAATGTTCTTTCCAACTATAAGCCAATATCTAAATTACCCTTCTTGTCCAAAGTCTTAGAGAAAGCTGTTTTTAATCAACTTCAGCCTTTCTAGACTCACGAAGTTTGTGAAGAGTTCCAGTCTTTTTTTAAATCCCACCATAGCATAGCACCTCCAGATGCAGGAAGAGGGCCACCTGCATCATGAAGGACCCCACCCACCCAGCACACACACTTTTTGCCCCACTCCCCTCAGGAAGGAGGTTAAGGAGCATTAAGTGTAGAACCACTAGACTGAGGAACAGCTTCTACCCTGAGGCTGTTAGACTCATGAATCTCTAACTAGAATAATCACTGTGAAAAACCATATCATGTTGCTGCTGATCTGTTTCATGTTGCTGCTGATCTGTTTCATGTTGCTGCTGATCTGTTTCAATGTTGGTGTGTTCATGCGTGCACATCTGCTCACAGACTCATGTTCATGTTTGTGGTGATGTTCAATGTTTTATGTTATGAGTGCTTAGTGTATATTTAGTTGATGCATTTCTTAGTTCATATCTTAGATGTTACTACTGTTTTTCTTAGATATTTTATTGTTGGATGTAACTGGGACCCTGTGTACATAATTTCGCTCCACCACATGTACCACATGAGGTGCGAATGACAATAAAGAAACTCTGACTCTGACTCTGACTCTGAGACAGCACTTGAAAGAGTTTTTAGTGCTCTTCTTTTAAAGGTTGACTCAGGTTGCTCCGATTATTTAGTTCTTTTAGGTTTAACCACTGCCTTTGATATGTCAATCAGAGCATTCTTTTATCAAGACTTGAACAAGTTGTTTGTCTTAAAGGCTCGATTTTAGCATGGTTCAAGTCTTATTTGGCTGACAGGTCGTTTTCTGTTTCCATGAGGGAATACTCTTTTTCTTTGGCACTTATTCATTGTGGTGTACCTCAAGGGTCTATTTTGGGTCCTATTTTGTTCTGCTGTTTGCTTCTTTTGGGATCAATTTTTAGAAAGCACATTTATTTTCATTGTTATGCTGATGACATCCAAACATGTTTTCCTTTTAAATCAGCTGTCTCTGCCGCTCTGCAGCCTCAGTTTAACTATCTAAAAGACATTAAAGATGGGCTATCTCAGAACTGTCTGGCCTTGAATGAAAACAAGACTGAAGTTGTTTTATTTGGGAATTAGACTCCTGTGTGTGCTGAAATTCTCAGCCCTCTTGCTCCTCGTTGTTCCTCCGTGGTCAAGAGCCACAGAGAAACGGTCTTGGGGTGTTCAATGACAGTTCTTTTTAAACTTGAAAAGTAAATACCCACAGCTGTTAAAAACAGTTTTTATCAGCTATGTCAAATAACTACAGTAACATTTTATATTCATCCTAAAGACCTCAAAACTCTTATCCACACCTTCATCACCACTAGACAAGACTACTGCAACTCTTTAGATGTTGGTTTGGAACAATCTTTTCTCCAGGATCCAGAAGGAATGACCACATAACTTCTTTTTTAGCTGATCTACACTGACTGCCTGTTCATTTCTGTATTGATTTTAAGATTCTTTTACAAACTTTTAAATCTTTATGACGTGGCACCCTGTTATTTAATCAATCTTTTGCACTTTTACAACTGAAGAAGTGCACTGAGATCCTCCTGTCGGATGCTTTTAGTGCAGCTGAGGGCTAAATTAAAGCATAGAGGGGATCGGGCTTTTGCAGCGGCAGACCCAGACTCTGGAACAATCTGACCATTAATATTTGTTCTGAAGAGTCCAGACAGTCTTTTAAATCCTGTCTTGAATTAAAAGCCAGTGTAAAAAAAGTGAGTTTTAATGCAAACTGCAAGTTTATTTAGAGTTCCATGAGAACCTCTTAGGTGTGCTATTTTCTTGCTTTAGTTGTTCTTAGCCTATTTTACTATACTTGTAGTTTTTACTGTTTTATCTTTCATTTATTTGATTGCTGGATCTCCTGTTTGTGAAGCACTTTGGTCAACATTGTTGTTTTTAAATGTGCAATATAAATAAAGTTGACAATGACATTTTATTTCTGTTGCAATGCATTCTGTGCACCGTTGTTTAGGCCTGTCGCGATAAACAACAAATCAATTAATCGCATGATAAATGAAAATGATTGACCTCATTTTCATTTATCGGCTTTATCATTTCTTCATGTCTGTTTCTACTGAAGACACTGGATGACAAAAGGCTCAACTCCGGTGCTCTTCACTGACCCCTCCCTTTCTCTTTAAAATCCATTTTAAACGTGCAAAATCGCGTTTTTGGATCAATAAAATCAGCTAAGCTGAGAAGCTAAGCTACAAGCTAAGCTAACAGACCGACCTCAGGAAAAAGACTCCGTCTTATCGAAGATCCAAAATTCACGGTTGAAACCCGTGCCTTCGTGTAAAAAGTTGTTTAACTTTAACTTTTTTTTATTAAAAGCTTTGTGTGACAAATGCTATGCTAAAGAGCTCAAACCACACCGAGGATCTGCCATTTTGAGAAATGAAGAGAGACAGTCCATGTCACGTTAAGGGGCCTCCCTCCCATTTTTCTTAAATAGACACGCTGCTCGCTCCCTCACTATCCATCCTTCGGTTCAAACAGTCTTATACTGCCATCCGGTGGTCAAAAAAGTACTACATGCAAAACAAATTAACAAACTTTTTTTTTTAAATATATTATTTAAACAATATTAAACAATATTATCGTTTATTAGGGGTTGAACGAGTATATAATTTTTAAACTCGACATTAACATAAAACCCGAGTAGAACTCGAGTATTTGATGACGTCATAGATCTCAAGATACAAAAACAAATAAATAAATAAAACCACAAAAAAAAGGTAATTATTTACAAAAAAAGACCAACAAAACATTGGGAACGTATATTATGCTCCTACCATTTATCATACTGCAAATAAGTCACAGGAAAAACTAAACTATTAGTTATTATTATTAAACTGCAAACGTGAAGAAACATGCAGCACGTCAAAAACGAAACTTAACAGTTGGGGGGGGGGGGGGGGTCGACCACCCCGTACCACCGCCAGCTGTGGTGCGCATTAAGTTTAGTTTTAGAGATTAATATGTTTATAGATTTTTTTTTATAGATTTAGAGATGAATATTTTTTGCTTTTTGTTTGTGAAACAAGAGGAAGCTGGATCTGGTTCGGTGGATTGCACCCGGTGTTACACCATACTTTGTGACCTGCAACAGTGCAACACCGCCCCCGTATGACGATCATACGGTGGTCACATAATAAGACGTCACTACGGACACTTGACCTTACATTTTTAACCTCGATAGATGTTCTAGCAATCGATGTGTAGAATACTCGAGTACTCTGTTAATGCCCTATCGTTTATCACAATAATTTCTGAGACAATCACCCAACAAAAGTTGTTATCATGACAGGCCTACCGTCGTTTCCGGGCCAACCCTAACCTGGGTGATCCCATACCTATGAGTGCCATACCAAGGCAAGTAAACTAGGGGAAACACGGAAATATATACAATTTTTTACGTAATTAGGAGTTTTCACGAGTCACAAACAACAACTTTTAGTAGGAGAGAAATAACATATTCAGGCCGATAGATACAGGTATTCAGAGATCCCTTTAACACTTGAGTTTATAAATGTCTATCCATAATGTTGAAGCCAGATGTCCATAGAGGTTATTGCTATTCAAAGATGTCTAAATTAATCATGTATTAAAAGCTAAGTTATCCATAGATGTCTGTCCATTGTACACTTCAGCTACATTTGGTTTAAAAGTTTGTTTTGGAGTCATAGAAATTATAAACCCAACTGTAGACATGACATAGAAGTTTCCATCAATCAACCATTTGTGTGTCATGTCCAAATGTACTTTGAAAAAACTTGAAATAGCTAGTCCGCGAAAATCGAACAGCGAAGTAGCGAGAGACTACTGTATGTTAAAAAATATATACAACAAACGAGTAATCAAGGCATGTCTACGATGTTTCAAAGACATCTTGTTGTAAACTTACAGCCTGTGCAGTTTGACTTTTCTTTGAATATACAGAAAAATTGTCATGTTTCATGTTTTCATCTGTAAAAAAAAATTACCCTGAAAAATACGTTTACATCAACTAAGCTGTCGTGATTTTGATGTTTTTGGACAAACTGATAAAATAAGAAGAATATTAACAATCGAAAAAGATACATACGTTTTAAAATGTACATTTTAGGCTAAAGTTTAAATGTCAGTTGAAGGTCTGATATTTTAGCATCAATTAGTCGTGTGTTTTACATATTTTAATGAAGTCTAGGCAAAATTTCTATGTGTATCAGAAATAAATAAGGCCCACACTAACGCCTGACTGAAACTGTGTCCGTTGCTCCGGCCTTTTTATGTGCATGTGTACTTACTTATGTGTTTTATGCCAAATGTGTTTTTCATTATGCGTTTTGTGCCAAACGGAGAGAGAATCTCTTACTCTAGATTTCTTTTTACGTAAATGCGAAACCCCGACATCTCCGATGGACATGCTGTCGCTCAGCTCCCCCGCCGCGCTCGACACTTCCTGGGTACTACGATCAGATGAGAACGGAAGTGAAGGCAGAGAAGTCTGGACCTGGATGAGCAGCTGACTCGCTTTTGGCAAAACCTGGAAAAGAAAAGAGGACTACAACACTCTCCAAAACCAAAGGAGAAAAGCTAATCAGTATTACCCGTATTTATCACCTCTGAAAATTATATTTGCAGAGCAGGTAGAGATAACTTTTCTGAATTATTTTTGATCAGGACATGTTTTTTATCCCCTACATTAAAAACATTACTAGAACTGCCTTCTTCCACCTGCGAAATATCACTATATTAGAAACATCTTATCTAAAAATGATGCAGAAAAACTGGTCCATGCATTTGTCATGTCTAGACTGGACTATAGCAATGGTTTATTATCTGGGTGTCCAAATACTTCTTTAAAACATCTTCAGTTGATCCAAAATGCTGCTGCCAGAGTCTTAACTGGAGTTAGTAGGAGAGATCATATCTCTCTAGTTTTAGTTTCTCTCCACTGGCTCCCTGTCAAATCCAGAATTGAATTCAAAATCTTACTTCTAAACAAAAAGCTCTCAACAACCTAGCTCCATCTTATATTTGAGATATTATTGTCCCATATTTTCCTAACAGAGCACTTCGCTCTAAGACTGCAGATTTACAAGCAGTTCCTAGAGTTTCCAAAAGCAGAATGGGAGGAAGATCTTTCAGTTATCAGGCTCCTCTCATGTGGAACAAACTTCCAGTTTCTGTCCATGAGGCTGACACATTGTCGAGTTTTAAGACTGGGCTTAAGACTTACCTTTTTGATAAATCCTATAGTTTGGGTTTCCTGAGCTATCCCTAAGTTATGCTGCTATAGGCTTAGACTGCTGGAGGACAAACTGACCACATATCTTCACTCTGCTGCTGTCTTTACTTATTCTACCTTTTTGTATTTGACATCACCACTGGTTGAGGTCAACAGCACCCCACCTTCACTGAACACAGTGTTAGTAAAGAGCTGCTTTCCCCTCCTCAGCCGCCTGACAGTTTGGCAGAATCTCCTCGGAGCTGACCGAGAGTCTTTATCCAAGGCTTCACCGAACTCCTCCCACATCCAAGCTTTTGCCTCAGCAACATCCAAGGCTGCGGACCGTTTGGCCTTCCAGTACTCCTCAGCTGCCTCTGGAGTCCCACCAACCAACAAGGCCTGATAGAACTCCTTCAGCTTGACAGCCTCCCTAGCCTGGGGTGTCCACCACTAAGTTTGTGGACAGCTACCGCAAGAAGTACCAACAATCTTGCGGTCACAGCTCAAGTCATCTACCTCAACAGTGGTGGTACAGAACATGGTCTATTCAGACTCAATGTCACCCGCCTCAGCTGGGATGCAGTTAAAGCTCTCCCGGAGGCGTGAGTTGAGATCTTTCTGACGGATTCTTCTACCAGGCATTCCCAGCAAACCATCACTACACATATGGGTCTATGGGGTATGTCTGGCATCTTCCCCTGCCATCTGATCCAACTCACTACCAGGTGGTGTTCAGTTGACAGCTCAGCTCCTCCCTTCATCCGAGTGTCTAAAACAAATGGCCACAAATCAGATGACACGACTATAAAGTTAATCAGTGAACTAATACCTAGGGCGTCCTGGTGCCAAGTGCACTTATGCACACCCTTATGTTTGAACATGGTGTTTGTAATGGACAAACTATGACTAGCACAGAAGTCCAACAACAGAACACCGCTTGGGTTCAGATCAGAGAGGCCGTTCCTCCCAATCACACCCCTCCAGGTCACACTGTCATTACCCACGTGGGCACTGAAGTCACCCAGCAGAATAAAGGAGTCCCCAGCTGGCGCACCTTCCAGCACCCCTGCCAAAGACTTCAAGAAGGCAGGATACTCTTAACTGCCGTTCGTTGCATAGTCACAAACAACAGTCAGAGCCCCTTCCCCCACCCGAAGGTGAAGGGATGCCACCCTCTCATCTACCGGGGAAAACTCCAACACACAGGCACCAAGTCAGGGGGCTACAACCCACACCAGCTCAACGCCTCTCACCATGGGCAACTCCAGAGTGGAATAAGGTCCAACCCCTCTAAAGGAGATCGGTTCCAGAGCCCATGTTGTGCATGGAGGTGAGCCCAACTATATCTAGTCGGTACCTCTCAACCTCGCGCACAAGCTTAGGCTCCTTCCCCACCAGAGAGGTCACGTTCCGTGTCCCAAGAGCCAGCTTTGGTACGCCTGGGTCAGAGCGCCATGGTCTCCGCCTTCGGCCACTGCCCATGGCATCACACACCTGATATTTGTGGCCTTTCCTGCAGGTGGTGGGTCCACAGGAAGGCAAACCCATGTTGCTCCTTCGGGCTGAGCCCGACCGGGCCCCATAGAGACCCGGTCCAAATAGGTATCTCTACAGACAAATTCGGAAGGCGTATCTGGGGGGCCACATCTGATTGGACGAGGTGTATCCGGGGGGGCCATATCTGATTGGACTATACGAAAATGGGCATGTCTGGTGGGCCACATCTGATTGGATGATAGAAAAATGGGCGTGTCTGGTGGGCCACATCTGATTGGACGATAGAAAAACGGGCGTGCCTGGCGGGCCACATTTGATTGGACTATAGATAAAATGGGCGTGTCTGGCGGGCCACATCTGACTGGACGATATAAAAGTGGGCGTGTCTGGTGGGCCACATCTGATTGAACGATAGAAAAATAGGCATGTCCGGAGGGCCACATCTAATTGTACAAAAAAAAAAAGGTTGAACGAAAAAAAAGCAGTTTGTGTTAACCACAGACATATTATGTCTAAAAACAAGGTGTTACTGGCAGATTGTGTTAACCACAGGCATATTATGGTGTTAACCGGTTCGACATTAGCGGCGTCTCGGTTCGACATGAGCGGCGTCTCCATGACTTCTTTTTCCGCCTCTCTTAACACAGAACTTCCGGTTACATTTCAAAATAAGAGCAACCTAACTGGGTAGTGTGGAGGGCTAAATGTTTGTTTTTGAATACCTAGCCATTACATTAAAAAACAAAATCCATTTTGGTTGTTAAAAAAAGTGAAAATAGCTACAATCGATTCATAAAGAAAGAAAAATAAAGTAACCAAAATATTAATGATACTTAAACTGGTTTTGGGACAAAGGATGTTTCCTTTAACTTCACATTTTCTTGTTCAACCTTTTAAATCAGTCACTGCAAATGAGTGATTGTCAGTTTCTGTAAGATTTTTGCAACTGGAGCAGGTATTTCTGTTTACTGGTTAACTTCCTCAGCTGTCTCACATTTTTAAGGATCAACCCTACTCCATGTTTCAGCTCCTTTCATAGATCAGATCTCATAGAAGAGCACTTCTAACGAGCAAATTTTGTTTTGTTTTGACCTGCAGAGAACCCCTTCACCCCTTCTCACCCGGTCAATAGGCGCTCGTCGACGAGCCCCTCCCCCAGGCATGGCTCCAGGGTGGGGGCCCGGTAACCCATGCCTGGGCAAGGGACACTTGAGTTTCTTGTTTTTTCCTGTCCAATTGAGTTTTGTGCATTGCTCTTTGTCTGGTCTGTCACCTAGGACCAATCTGCCTTGGGAGACCCTACCAGGGGAAGTTATAATTGACCCCGACAGCAGAGCTCCTAGGATCATTCAGGCGCACAAACTCCTCCACCACGATAAGGTGGCGATTCAAGGAGGAGTTTTTTTTGTCACCTAAATAAACCAATTTTACATAACGGCTGTAATTTTTTTTTACCAAAACAAAGACATAGGATCTGTCTGAAAGCAATAGTTTCAGATATGGGATTTTGCAGGACAGGAAAGACATCACTTATAAACACAAAAAACACTGATTTGGGGGGGTTAAAGATTTACAGTTAGAGCTCCTGGGGCATTTAGGGGATTCGTTTGTCTAAAGGTGACATAATAGAGTTGGGATAAGGCTATAGGAACACATGGAGGAGGTTCTACCATGATGTAGGGTTGATCAGCTGCTTGTTGAGCATTTAAATACATTCAATGTGTGATTACAAAAAAGTTAGCTAGTTTTAGAGTGAGAGCTTTTAGCTAGTTTAAAAAATAAACAACTAGCTAAAAAAAAAAAATAAACACTTCCCATGGGCTCACCACCTGTGGGAGGGGCCAAAGGGGTTGGGTGCAATGTGGGATGGGTGGTGGCCGAGGGCGGGTACCATGGCGGTCTGATCCTCGGCTACAGAAGCTGGCAATTGGGACGTGGAATGTCACCTCACTGGTGGGGAAGGAGCCTGAGCTGGTGTGTGAGGCTGAGAGGTTCCGGCTAGAAATAGTCGGACTCACCTCTACGTATGGCTCTGGCTCTGGAACCAGTTTCCTTGAGAGGGGCTGGATACTCTTCCACTCTGGAGTTGCCCCTTGTGAGAGGCGCCGAGCAGGAGTGGGCATACTTATTGCCCCCCAACTTGGTGCCTGTGTGTTAGGGTTCACCCCGGTAAATGAGAGGGTGGCCTCCCTCCGCCTACGTGTGGGGGGACGGGTTCTGACTGTTGTTTGTGCTTATGCACCAAACGGCAGTTCAGATTATCCACCCTTTCTGGAGTCTTTGGGGGGGCGGGGGGTACTGGAAAGTGCACCTCCTGGGGACTCCCTTGTTTTGCTGGGGGACTTCAATGCTCATGTGGGCAATGACAGTGAGACCTGGAGGGGTGTGGTTGGGAGGAACGGCCCCCCTGATCTGAACCAGAGTAGTGTTCTGTTGTTGGACTTCTGTGCTCATCATGGATTGTCAATAACGAACACCTTGTTCAGGCATAAGGGTGTCCATATGTGCTCTTGGCACCAGGACACCCTAGGCCGCAGTTCGATGATCGACTTCGTCATCGTCTCATCTGATCTGCGGCCACATGTCTTGGACACTCGGGTGAAGAGAGGGGCGGAGCTGTCCACTGATCACTACCTGGTGGTGAGTTGGCTCCGATGGTGGGGGAGAATGCCGGTCAGACCTGGCAGACCCAAACGTATTGTGAAAGTTTGCTGGGAACGTCTGGCAGAGTCTCCTGTGAGACGGAGTTTTAACTCCCACCTCCGGGAGAACTTCGAACATGTTCCGAGGGAGGTGGGGGACATTGAGTCAGAGTGGACCATGTTTCACGCCTCTATTGTCGAGGCAGCTTACCGGAGCTGCGGCCGCAAGGTTGTCGGTGTCTGTCGCGGCGGCAACCCTCGAACCCGATGGTGGACACCGTCGGTGAGGGATGCTGTCAGGCTGAAGAAGGAGTCCTATTGAGCCTTTTTGGCCTGTGGGACCCCAGAAGCAGCTGATGGGTACCGGCAGTCCAAGCGACATGCGGCTCGGATGGTCGCTGAGACAAAAACTCGGGCATGGGAGGAGTTCGGAGAGGCCATGGAGAATTACTTCCGCACGGTTTCGAGGCGATTCTCGTCCACCATCCGGCATCTCAGGGGGGGAAAGCGGTACGCCACCAACACTGTTTATAGTGGGAGTGGTGTGCTGCTGACTTCAACTCGGGATGTTGTGGGTCGGTGGGCGGAATACTTTGAAGACCTCCTCAATCCCACCGGCACATCTTCCACTGAGGAAGCGGAGCCTGGGGACTCTGGGTCGGGCCCGCCAATCGCTGGTGCTGAGGTCACCGAGGTGGTTAAAAAGCTCCTCGGTGGCAGGGCCCCAGGGGTGGATGAGATTCGCCCAGAGTTCCTTAAGGCTCTGGATGTTGTAGGGTTGTGTTGGCTTATACAACTCTGCAATATTGCGTGGACATCGAGGGAAGTTCCCCCTGGATTGGCAGACCGGGGTGGTGGTCCCCCTATTCAAAAAGGGGGACCATAGAGTGTGTTCCAACTACAGGGGAATCACACTCTTAAGCCTCCCTGGTAAGGTCTATTCGGGGGTTCTGGAGAGGAGGGTCCGTCGGATAGTCGAACCTCGGATTCAGGAGGAGCAGTGTGGTTTTCGTCCTGGCCGTGGAACACTGGACCAGCTCTACACTCTCAGCAGGGTCCTGAAGGGTGCGTGGGAGTTTGCCCAACCGGTCTACATGTGCTTTGTGGACTTGGAGAAGGCGTTCGACCACGTCCGTCGGGGAACCCTGTGGGGGGTACTCTGGGAGTATGGGGTACCGGGCCCTTTGATATGGGCTGTTAGGTCCCTGTATGACCGGTGTCAGAGCCTGGTCCGCATCGCCGGCAGCAAGTCGGGCTTGTTCCCAGTGAGAGTTGGACTCCGCCAAGGTTGCCCTTTTTCACCGATTCTGTTCATAACTTTTATGGACAGAATTTCTAGGCGCAGCCAAGGTGTTGAGGGGATCTGTTTTGGTGGCCTTAGGATTGCGTCTCTGCTTTTTGCAGATGATGTGGTCTTATTGGCTTCATCAGATCATGATCTACAGCTTTCGCTGGAGCGGTTCACAGCCGAATGCGACGCGGCCAGGATGAAGAACAGTTCCTCCAAATCCGAGGCCATGGTCTTGAGCCGTAAAAGGGTAGATTGCCCTCTCCGGGTCAGGGAGGAGGTCCTGCCCCAAGTAGAGGAGTTCAAGTATCTTGGGGTCTTGTTCACGAATGAGGGAAAAATGGAGCATGAGATCGATACGCGGATAGGTGCAGCATCAGCAGTGAAGCAGGCGCTGTACAAGTCTGTCGTGGTGAAGAGAGAGCTGAGTCAAAAGGCGAAGCTCTCAATTTACCGATCGATCTACGTTCCTACCCTCATCTATGGTCACGAGCTTTGGGTTGTGACCGAAAGAATGAGATCTTGGATACAAGCGGCCGAAATGAGTTTTCTCCGCAGGGTGTCTGGGCTCTCCCTTAGAGATAGGGTGAGAAGCTCGATCATCCGGGAGAGACTCAGAGTAGAGCCGCTGCTTCTCCATGTCGAGAGGAGCCAGTTGAGGTGGCTTGGGCATCTGTTTAGGATGCCTTCTGGACGCCTCCCTGGTGAGGTGTTCCGGACACGTCACACCGGAAAGAGGCCCAGAGGAAGACCCAGGACACGCTGGAGGGACTATGTTTCTCAGCTGGCCTGGGAACGCCTCGGGATTCCCCCGGAAGAGCTGGCCCAAGTGGCTGGGGAGAGGGAAGTCTGGGCCTCCCTACTTAGGCTGCTACCCCCGCGACCCAACCCCGGATAAGCGCAAGAAAATGGATGGATGGATGGATGGATGGAAAAAATAAACAAATACACATCCAACAAAAAAAAAAAAAAGAAAAACTGTTTTTAATTTAGCATCGATGAGTTTTGACAGAAACAATAAAATACTTATATGAAAACCAGCAGCTAACATGTGATGGAGCTCCAAGGCAGCGCAGAACTTTTAGAGGCTGTTTTTGTTGCCAAAAAGGGCCACATTTAGCATTTTTACTCCCCTGTTAGAAATAAAATGATTCTTTTTATTTGTCTGTTTAAATAACTGCCAACATTTGAATAAATACTGAATATAAAACATAATTTTATAAACATTCAAAACAATCCTGACTACAGCAACATCTCTGTGTGTGATTTGTTGACTTACTGATAACTCGGAGGAAGACAGTGGGACTCCATCAAGTCTCAACTAAAAGAGACAGAAAAAGGAGCACTTAATATGTGGAAATAAATAAATAAATATTAATAATCCAAGAAGAAAACATTTTGATTCCTGCCTCGTTGCACATGCTCGACTGAAGCGTCTTGTGCATTTGCAAACAAGATCAATTAAAGCGAAAACTTCTGAATAAGACGAGGTAAACCTTTTTCAGCTTTAGGTTTTATATATCAGGACAAATGAAATTGTCAGGGAGTTCATGGTACTGACTCAAAAATGTGATAAACATTTGGTGATAAGTAGCTAGGGATGCACGATATTATTGGCATGGTATCGGTATCGGCCAATATTAGAGATAAAGTTCAATATAGGATATTTTTCCGACGTAACCTTACCAGAGTTACAAGCCGTCATTTCTGACGTCATTGAGAAGCTAATAGCCGATAGCACTTGGGTGAGTTTTACCACAGACATTTGGACGTCGTGTTAGCCCCATTAGCATGATTAAGCCTCCAGTATACTCCCGCGTACGTACGCGGAGGTACGCGCGTACTCCACAGGGCATGTCCACGCAAAGCTCAATTTTTACAAACACGTACTCGGTGTCGCACAATAAACTGCCCGGCGACGGACTGTTTTGTATGCGACACCAATGTATTAAATTCCCATTCTTCATTCCTGATCTGGCCTTTTCTTTTGTTTTTTTTTGCCAAGAGGCAAGTGATCTCTTCCTCCTCCGTTGATGCCATGACTGAAATGGTGAGAAATGAAGGAATCTGACATGAGCAAATTAAAATCAGGTCCAACGTGGCTGCAGGAGGGTCTGGAGATCTGTTGGGCTGATCTGATGTGTGGGCTACAGGGCCAGTGCTCCGTTTTTTAAAAATCTTTTAGAACTTTTTATTAACAATGTATAAACACAGAACACCGCTGCGGCTGGAGCTGCCAGCTCTTGTTTTTTCCGACCCGTCAATCAATCCAGTAGGCGTATCGGCAAATGACTAATCGGCGACCTCAATTTGTCCCAAAGGTAAACGCCCCTTGTCTGCGGAGCTGCTCTGCAGCTGCTCAGGGTGTACGCTCAAACATGAAGTCTCAACCCTGCACGTACCTCCGCGCGGACAGACATATGCAGGAGTATACTGGGGGCTTACGTCTTACAGCACAATGATAGACAAAAACTTTGAACTTAAAAAGGCTGTCCTTCATGCACAGGAGTGCAGAGGATCCCACACTGCAGCTAGGAACCAGGAACAAGCCTCCACAAGTGAGACAGCATCGCAGGTGACTAATGCTAATAAATAACATTTAACACTTTTCATTTAATATAAGTCAAAGTGCTATGTATATCATATGGATGTTACTGAATATATGTCACCAGCTCTTATAGCTGTTAGACAATTTTTGTAGAAAATAAGCCTAAATAGGAGAGAGGGCCATGTCTGACAAAAGAACGTATATAGAGTATCAGTATCGGTTATCGGTCAAATAAGTTTTAACATATTGGCATATTGGATATCAGCCAAAAATCCAATATCGTGCATCCCTATAAGCAGCAATAAATTGGATGTGATTAATGGAACCTGGCTTAAAAGGTTTAAATGATTCCTTTCTTGAATTTTGGGATTATCTTTGTTTCATAAATGACAAAAAAGGGTAAAAGACAATTCAGTTTTGTTTTGTATTTTGATGACTGTATTTTCCAGACTATAAGTCGCACTTGTTTTCATAGTTTGGCCAGGCCTGCGACTTACAGACCCTTTCCAAAAAATTAGAAAATCATGGAAAAATTGTTTAACTTCCATATCTCCATTTAAAATGTTAATCTTTAATAGATGATAGATTCAGGACTCACAAGTTAAACAATTTCAAGTATTTATTTGTTTATTTTTACATAATTTGGGCTTCCAGCTCATGAAACCCACAAACACAGGAATTCAAAAAAATTAGAATACTGTGAAGAAATCAGCTCACACTACTTCTCAGTTTTTGCAGAAAAAAATAAAGAAATTAGGATCACAACAAATCAATCAAAATATGGTACTTTCAAAACGATATGTCAATCTTCAATACTTGGTTGGAAATCCCTTTGCCTTAATCACCGCCTCGATGCGACATGGTATTGAGGCAGTCAGACTGTGGCATTGACCGGGAGTTATGAAAGCCCAGATTTCCTTGATACTTGTTTTCAGCTCTTTGTTGTTGGGTCTGGTGCCCCTCATTTTCCTCTTGAGAATACCCCATAAATTCTCAATGGGGTTTAGGTCTGGTGACTTGGCTGGCCAGTCAAGCACTGTGGCATGGACACCAGGTTTGGGTGCTTCTGGCGACATGGGCAGGGGCCAGGTCTTGCTGGAAGATGAAATCTGCATCTCCATACAGATCTTCAGCAGAAGGAATCATGAAGTCCTCTAAAACATTCTGGTAGACTGTTTCAGTGACCTTGGATTTAAGAAAGCAGAGTTTACCAACACCTGCACCGAATATTGCACCCCAAATCATGACTGACTGTGGATAATTCACACTGGACCTCAAGCAGTATGGGCTCTGTTCGTCACCCTTCTTCCTCCAAACCCTTGGACCTTGATTTCTGAATGAAAGGCACACTTTACTTTCATCGGAAAAGAGGACAGAGGAACCGAGGAACCCGACAGTTGTAGCTAGGAATGTGCGATATGGCATAAAATTCATATCACGATATGTATTGTGAAGGGTGGCGATAATGATATATATTGCGATATGTTTTGGGTATAAAACTTAATAGGAATTTTTCAAAAAGCATAGGGTGTCTTTTTGCCATCATATTATTTGAATTAAGAAAATTCCACTACTAGGTCCAGAGAGTTTTTAAATAATAAACAAATCAAGTATTAGGCTTCTTGCTTGTAGTGCAAAACAGTGCACAATATATAAAATTTAGTTTTAGCCCTATGTTTTAAACAAAAGAATATGATGTTAACAGTTTCCAGTCTTACTTAATAAATGAACAGCAACAGAGCAGCATTTTACACTGAAACACTTCATCCTCCAAACCTCTAGTTTGCGACTCCTTCCGCTTTAATGGAGAGTTGACACAAAATGACTGTGGCTTTGACCAGAGGGTCTCGCAGTAAAATCACACAACACAGCGTTCTTTTCACAGATCAGAGAGCAGGTTTCTCTAAAGCTGACCAACGCTTACTTTAACTTTCGACAGAAAAAAAAATAATAATAATTTTTGACGGAACACAGCGTTTTGCGCATGTGTCAGAATACGGCAACACTACGGCAAGCCGGGCGTAGTTAGCTTGTAGCTTTGCTACTTATTAGCTCTCGAAGAAAAGACTTTAACGCCACTTGCACACAGTTTTCAAATAAAAAAAGTAACGATTAAATCTGACAGCTTTGATTTTACATCAGACACAGCATTACTGCGGTTAGCCGGTAGAAGACAGATCTCTATCGTAGGATAAATTTCTATCGTTTCTACCGTGTACAGTTTATATCGCGCATTCCTAGTTGAAGCCCATCTCCCGGATGTGTCTGAATGTGGTGGTTTTTGAAGCTGTGACTCCCGCCTCATTCCACCATTTCTGGATCTTGGCCAGATTCTGGAATCTTCTCTGTTTGATATTCCGCTGAAGCCCACGGTCATCTCTTTTGCTGGTGCATCTTCTCCTGACACATTTTGCCCTTCCACTAGACTTTCCATTGATATGCTTGGACACAGCACTCTGTGAAGAGCCAGCCTCCTTAGCTATGAACTTTTGTGACTTACCCATCCTATGGAGGGTATCAATGATGGTCTTCTGGACAGTTGTTATGTCTGGAGTCTTCCCCATATTGAACCGAACTGAGACAATTGAACCAAACTGAAGCAATTTAATGACACTTGGGGAAACCTGTGCAGGTGCTTTGAATTTAGTAGATGATTAATGTGTCACACTCAGTTTAAAACATTCATGTCCTGCAAAATTTGGGCTGATTTCGCCACAATACTCTAATTTTTTGGAATCCTGATTTCATGGGTTTCATGAGCTGGAAGTCAAAATTATGTAAAAATAAACAAATAAATACTTGAAATTGTTTAAATTGTGGACCCTGAATCTATCATCTATTCAAGATTAACTTTTTGAATAGAATTATGGAAGTTAAACAACTTTTCCATGATATTCTAATTTTTTTTGGAAAGGGTCTGTACACCTGGACCTGCCATTCTGTGTTACTTACCAACTTACTAATGGGTTTATATATATATATATATATATATATATATATGAATGTTTCTGTTCAGTGCCCTGAGACTACTTCTGTTTTGACTTGGAGTTTTATAAATAAACTGAACTGAATTAGAAAGAGGTCGTCCATTTTTTTTTTATTAACCACGTCAGCAGAAGCTACTCACTCTGAGGCTGGCAGCTCTTGGTGACAGATGTCGAACCGTGCACGTACGGTGCGTCTTCTGGAAGAACAGCGGGTTACCCTCCACGTTCAGCTACAAACAAAACATCAACATTTTGAGCCTCAAAACAAGAAACGCTCAAGTGCGTTTGGCTGATTTTGACAGTGTGCACGAAGAAACGTGTTTACTGTGCAGAGGCAGTGCAGCAGGGCCAGAGGAGCGAGCTGAGAATGCTCCAACAGCAGGTTGTAGGCGATGTCTAGATGCTGCAGAGAAGACAACTGCTCAACGCCTGGTGATGGATAAAAAACATGAAAACAGTAAGAACTATAGAAATTGCATTTTCGGTGAAAATGCAGTGTGAATGCTTATTGCGGAAGAACTTGCTGAAAAACAGCTGAAATGAGATAAAATACATTCTGAATTGTAGCTGACATGGAAGAACAATACTAATTTAGCAGAAGAAAGCAGAAAGAACACATATTTGCTGAATTAGGTTTAAATGAGCAGAAATTAGCACAAAAATTTGGAAATTACTGGTAGCTAAAAAAGCTAAAATTAGCTGAAAAATTGTCGAAAAAGGCTGAAAGTAGCTTTAACAACCACAAGGAGGCAGAATGAACTGAAATGAGCTAAAATAATGTGGAATTACATGAAAAAGCTGAAAACGGCATCAAAACAGCTAAATAGTAGCTGAAAGAGCAGACAAAGCTGAAACTAACAGAAAAAGCCAAAACTAGCATAACAAGCTGAAATTAGCATAAAGAAGTTAATTAGGCTGAAAGTAGTAGAAATTACCATGAAAAACTTGAATTTATCTGAAAACAGCTGAAATTAGCTAAAAATGCTATAAAGGTAGCTGAAAAATTAGAACAAGCTTAAATTAGCAGAAGAAAGCAGAAAGAACACTTGTTTGCCCAAATAGGCTGAAAGAAGCAGAAATTAGAAATAAAAAGTGGAAATTATCTGAAAAAAGCTAAAATATGAAAAAACAGCTGAAAAGTAGCCAAAAAGGCAGAAATAAGCTTAAATTTCCAGAAGTAAGTGGAAAGCATATTTTTGCTGAATTAGGCTGAAAAAAGTTGAAACAAGTGCAAAAAATGTGGAATTAGCCCAAAAAATTAAATTGGCATAAAACAGCTAAATAGTAGTTGAAATAGCATAACAAGCTGAAATTAGCAGAAATAATCTAAAAGGAGCACAAAACAGCTGAAATGAGCTGAAAGTAGCTGAAAAAAGTTTTTAAATTTGCACAAGGAAGCTGAAAGTAGCTGAAGCAGAACAAAATGTGAAAGGCGAAGTAAAAGGTTATAAACACATCTAAAGATTTGAAGGATGTAAAATAAGCTCAATTCATTTTCTATGAGAAAAAAAAAGTGTCAGAAAAAGCCAAATATTTCAAAAAGCTAAAGTTGCACCAATACCAAAAGTCATAGCGGGATTGTCCTGAACGAGCTGAATTTTTTGATTTATGATTTGTTGAAATAGCACAAAAACTGTGGAACGAAAAAGACGCTGAAAATGTACGGAAGAAAAACGGATCACAACAGTGTGCATGCTTTATAATGTGCGACAGTGTGAGACCCGTGGAGGTGGAGACCATACGTCTCTGTAAACTTCCTGTCAGCTTGGTTCTGATCATAGATATCATATAATCACTAGATCCCTCATTGGCTGCTGCGGCGCAGGATTTTCGGCCGCCATCTTGGAACGGTCGTCCTTATTTGGTTAAAGCAGAAGATGTCTCAGCACTTCACAGCTTATTTCTGTTCAAATCGACGGACTGTTGACGTCCGGTCTCTGGGGATAACTTTTCACAAGTAAGATGAACATATTATTGTTAGTATTTTGTGAATA